CCAGGGGCAACAATTTACAGAATTTAATCTGATATATTTCTTTTATAACAGAGTATTTCTCGGTTCTCTTACTATCAACTCAAAATGTGTTTTTCCATATAATGTTTAAATGTATCATTTAGACCTATTATCATGAATAGAGAATGAATCCTGGCCTCATCCAATGCCTTTTCCGCGATCTTCCATTGCTGCTTCAGTTAATGCTAATGTTGACCTTGGCTGATCCTAAAAAAGTATACCTTGTCAGAGAATATGAGGCTAATAATGTAGTACCCTTCTATATTCTTATAAACTGGAGGATCACAGGGGGAAAACATGGCAGCAAAGTGTTTCCACAATCATCAGCAAATTATTTGGAAATAGAATGACTCGTCTCCTTGTGCCCTAGGCTCCAAACTAACAATGGCTGTTTTAGTGACAAGTCATATTTTTTAAAAGTGCCCAAACATGTATTGGAAAGAACTCAGTGTGAGGGTGGAATATAAATTAGCTGAAATAGCAAATAAATTAAAGTATCATTTGAGCTTATCTTGAGTGCTAGTGACTTCATGGATGTGTCTGTATAATTTTATTGACAACAGTATGGAAGCCTTTCACCATTGCCTTCATCTGGGAGATATGTAAGGTGTACCTTAAACCAAGCCCCTCATTATTATTTATATAATAAACTGTCAGTCGGTCCTGGCTTTTGGTATGCCACACATATAAGTACACTTTCTAGTGTAGTGAACATCCCTGGTAGTTTTCTATCCAGGACTGCATTATATTTCAGACTTAGACTGAAACTAAACATGTTCAGCTAATTGCTTCATTTGTTATCATGTAACAACAAATGTTTTTCCACAAATTTTCCTTAGAAATACCAGCAGGATGGGAACATCCTTCGACATCCTAAATGCCAAGAGCAACTCATTCTCTGAATGAGTATCCTTATATTGTCAGAATGTACAAGAAGGAGAAAAAAAAAAGATTTGGAGAAATTGCAGCGTTTGCAGAAGTAGGCAACATCTATGATTTGAGATGCCCATTCTGAAGATGAAAGGGTAGAGGAGGACTACACGGATGATCATTGGACTGGCCATCCGACCCAGTGCTAATTAAAGAATAGACACTTCTGGGTGACATGTTGTATAAATCAATCATCAATGTAAATATTTTATGGCCATGTGCTTTGTGGCAAACTGCCTGCTGGTCTTCATCAGCTCTCTTTTGTTGGCTGTGTTAGAAATGGTGGTACTGGCTGCCTTAATCAAAGGGCTATCATCCCCGGGCTCCCAGACACAATACTTAGAAGACAGGCAGCACAGAAACTGACTGACTTTTTCATGGGGATAAGTGAATGCAGTATCCTTCGCTTATTCCAGCTGCCTGCCTGGAATCCTAGTAAGAGCACTCTGTATTGCAATTATTTTGCTGCAGTTCCAACTGTATTAGACTGATATCAGTAATGTTTATGACTTTTTTTTATTACAGAACCCCAGACGCATGCGTAGAATTCCTGTAGAATTTTCAACATAGGCAGCACAGATAAAGCACAAGTATATTGGCTTCATCAGAATTGTCATTTGCCTCCATATGATAATCTGACACCCAAAGTAATTACCCTTAGCATGCATATGGATTTCATTGCATCAAACTAATGGACCAGCAATTTAAAAGCTAGTTCTGCCAGAACACTGTTTCCTGTTTAAAGGAATTTATAATATATATGCTACTGTAAATATAGCATTTGTGCAAAGCAAAACTGGATAATGCATTCTTATGAAATCCAGGCAAATTTCTGTTTTTCACCCTGTAGACAGAATTTGTAAGAGCTATGCTACAGAGTTCTCACTGTTAACAGAATCAACTGATCATATACAATATATGCACATACACAACAAAACATTTCTTACAATCTAAAAACATAACTAGCTCATCAAATCTTATGAAAAACAGCCATCTGAAAAAGAATGATCATGATAATGTTTCTTCTTGGATTGATGTGGAATTACTAAGATATTAATAGTAGACAAGATATTATTATATCACTAAATATTATGATGGTTGTAGTTCTTTTGCCTTTGAAGCAATCTGGACATCAGGAATTATATGAATTACATCAGGCATGTCAAACTCGTGATGTCATGTGACGTTGTGCGACGTATCGTGACTTTTTCGCTATTGCCGGCAATGGGGTAGGCACGGTTTCAGTATAATGCATCCAGCCCCTGGGCTGGCAGTTTGACATGCTTGAATTACATGAATAGGTTTAGATATTAATGTTGTATTATACTGTATATTGCTCCTATCCAAATTAAATATTGGTTTAGTTGCATTTCACTTACAAATTAGGTATATATTACAAGACACTGACTTAAACATAAAATTATATTTTCAAGAAATATCTAAATAGACTTTTACATTAACTTTATATTGAGTGCAGCATGGCATGGTTCTGATAGAAACTGTTGTGTTGAGATATTTGCAGCGCTGAATAAAAATTAAAAACTTCAGACAACATCAAGTTGAAGATAATATATCAAAATACGTTGTAGTATAAAACTATAGGAACTGAGAGGCAGGGGCAGAATGTGACAGTCTAAGAAAAAAATAAGAATCCATGGCAAGTTCTGGCATGTCTTCACCAAGTAATATACATTTCTTGATAAATCCACCCAAGGACAAGCAGTAACTGGAAGCAACCTTGTTTCTAGAGCAATGGGAATTATATTCACCAGTGAAGGGATAGACTGAACACACTGTTATATTTCTCTTAAATAATCTTGCACAGAATATTAATTTGTATAAAAAGAAACAACTAGAATAAATTAAAAGTACCAGTGTAAGCCATCAGAACAAAACTGAATTACTGTAATACTTTTGTTAAATGAACTTGCTTAGCAGTTGTAACATTAATCTGAATGTGCAGAGAACAAACTACTGTATGACATTTTAAAATCATAACTTTATGCAGCCTCTGCCCGACAGGTAGTCTTCGACTTACAACAGTTCATTTAGTGACCATTCAAAGCTACAACAGCACTGAAAAAAGTGACTTATGACTGTTTTTCAGTTACGACCTTTGAAGCATCCCCATGATCATGTGATCAAAATTCAAATGCTTGGCAACTGGTTCATACCAATTTGGGGGCTTATTGTGGTCGTAAGTCAAGGATTACCCTTATTTTTCTACAATTCAGTTCAAAGTGATAGTTTTGACCTTTAAAATCCTTCATGGCATGGGGCTGGGTTATCTGAGGAACTGCTTGATTATATGAGCCTGTCTCATTAGATCTAGCAGAAAAAGCATGTTATAGGTCCTGTCTGTTATAGGTCGTCTGCAAATGCACTATACTTGGCAGATCCCAGGAGATGGCCCTTCTATCGTGGTGATCACTTTCTGTGGAGATGCCTACCTCTCTCCCAGTGAGGTTGGCTCCATCCTTGTTGATTTTTTTGGAAGTATCCCAAAACCTGGCTTGGGGGTGCTGGGAATATGTTGAGATCTTGAGGTGGCTCCATTATTGTTATTAAAATCTACCGTTTCTTAGCCTTGTTATTTTTTTTTTTTTAAAAAAAATTGTTTTTAAACATTTACTGTTTTATTATTTTGTTATACATCACCCCGAGTTACTTTCTGTGAGATGGGTGGTCATATACATTTTATAAATAAATATTTTCATCTCTTCCTTCTTGCGCTGTGAATAGCTTGGCAGATCTTGCATGTTTATCTTAAAATGTCAAGTTGTAGCTGTAAAAGACAGAAATATGGTATACTGTATAAAACTCCGAATCTTGATTTGGCAAGGTAGTCAAACGACAAAATTATTTTGTGGGATTCGTGATGCATTTGATTGCATTTGTCTGGAAGTTTCCAGGTGCCCAACAAAATAATTTTAGGAGCTTTGACCAAGGGGAGCCCAACGAGAGTAGTAATGTTAACGTCTCTGTCTGCATTCTTAAAGCCTCTGTGAAGACGGCCGAAAAAAAACACAGCTGGATTCATGTGGGAGTGGGGCAGACATCCTTTTCCTGTCAGTTTGAGCGCCGTCCAACTTCTGGACGGGAGGAGAACGAGGAGGGAGAGGAAAAGCCAAGCATTTTCTCTCTCCCCCCCCCCCCTTCTGGCTTGCCTTTCTTAAAACCCAGGTCTATTTTTCTGCTGATGTCAGAGCGATAAGAAGCTGACTCAGGGTGAACGGCTGTTTGCTGTTTTCCTAGTCTGCGCTTTGCAGAAAATCGGTCCAAAGTTTACAGGATAAATTTGTCAGTCTGAAAGCAGCACCCTTCACCCCGCTCCGGGTGCATTTTTCCGAGAGATTTGTTTGCATGATGTCACCGGAGAATAATTCTAGCGGGAATTTTTTCTTTTTTTTTTTAAGTCACCAGCCAGGAGTTGTGTCTGTACAGTAAGTGAACTCTCTATTTGCAATGCGCCCTCCAGCGATCGGGTGAAACAGAAGGTGCATGTGGCATAGGAGCTACTGCACCTTTAAAGTCACTTCCAGGAGGTCTGAAGGAAAACTGTTGCCCGGACCAAACGATCATTCCCATTACGGAGCTGAACACAAAGACAATGGTCTTTCTTTCCCACTTAGAAAAAACTTTAGCCAAACTTAAACTACCGGGTATAAAAGCGCAGTTGTATTTAATGGAGTGCTTTGCAGTGCATGGATATAATTTGAAGTTAGTGTAGAACCGAGATATTCTCTCTCCTGATACTCCGAAGTCACTATTCGGGACATATAAAACGTTTGCATATAAAAAGCTTTTCAAACGCCTCTTACATCTACGAGAATAGGAGCATGAAATTACAGTTTCTTTCTCCCCCTTTTCAATCGCTTCTTCGGTCCTGCCTCCTCACTCTTTTTCCCGAAGGGAAGGAACCATTCTAAGGGCGGGAGGGGTGCCTGGCTTGCTTCTTCTGTTGGAAAACGAAGGTGGGGTACCCTAATGGGCGGGACTGATTGTTGCTTCGGTTTAAGCTTGGGGGAGGAGAAGGAGGGGGCTGGATCCTGTCCGGCTCGGAAGGAAAGGCTCCGCTTAAGCAAGTGACGGGAAACGCGTTTCTGGAGTGGCTGGGGAGAGAAGGATGCACAACAAGCTCGAGGACGAAGAGGTGAGTGTGGGTCGACGCTGGGATCCGGGCAGCTTTTGTCCTGCGAGCGAGCGAGCGAGCGGAGGATCTGACTAGGCAGCTTCGCAGGGAAAGGGAATCGCTTGAGAAAGGATTCTCTCCCTTGAGTCCGCGGAGTCCGGAAATCGAGCAAGCAGTGCCGGAGGAAACGTTTAACACTGGTCCCTTGTTTGTCCCCCTCCCCCTCCATCTACCCTCTAGTATTATTATCTTAAAGCTCGGACTCTTTCGCACTTCTTTCCCCGCCGTGCTTTTATTTTCAGGAGGCAGCCTGTTTGGTCTGAAGTGGGGTGAATGTTTAAGCTGGGCGGTGCTTTCCATGGATTAAAAAGAAAAGGATCTTTCCGTCCTTTTCTTTTAGCAATCCGGGATGGTTTTTTTTCCTCCCCTTCCCAGTTCCGCACATGTCTGCTGCCGGATTGCTTAGAATAGGTTTCCAAGCTTTCGGATTAAAATGGGACAGCCAGTGTTTGAAAACCGAAGTACTGCTGACTTGGTATAACTGTTCCCTGCCGCTGGGAATAATGTGCTAAGCAAAAGATTTGGCTGGGTCCCCTGGAACTGAGAAGATTAGCACTTGCCTTGAGAGAGATTTTATGAAAACACAATCGAGCAGTTTTATTCCGCCCAGGTAGTGTTTGATTTTTAAGTACTTCTTCCTCTTGGGATTCCTTACTTGCTATGTATTCCTCTATTAGTTGTGGTTGGAAAAAAACAAAGCATTTTTACACTTTATTGCCTCTCCCTCTGGGAGTTTTTAATACAGCAACAGTAGATTTTCCAATAGTGACTTTAAAATAGAGCAGGGGGCATGAAGAAAATGAAGATGCATATTTACTGTTTGTAGGCAAACGTGTGCACTGGTTTGTTTGTTTGTCAGATTTATACGTTCCCCCCCTCGCACTCAAAGTGACTCTGGATGGTGTACAATAAAGCCAACAATCAAAACATTCTACAAAACCACTTACAATGTATGAAATATAAGAAAGAGGAGATAGAGCAGTGGTTCTCAACCTTTTTAATGACGCGACCCCAACCGGTTGTAAGTCGAGGACTAAACCGGTCGTAAGTTGAGGACTACCCAACCGGTCGTAAGTCGAGGACTTTCCCTGCCCAGGAGCGCCGCGCATGCGTGGTTCCGCCCCCTGCGCCGGCCGAGGCGTAGCTGGCAAGCGGCAGAGACGGAGCAGGCTGACCACCAGCTGGCCCAGCTCAAGGGAGGTAAGGCACCCGCCGGAAAAGGGGAAAAAAATGGTGGACAAAAAAATGGCGGACAGCCTTGCTTGGCGACCCCCATGAAATGGTCGATCGACCCCAAATGGGGTCCCGACCCACAGGTTGAGAACCACTGAGATAGAGGCACATCTTTCTATTGCCTAAGAGCTAAAAGGATAGCAGTTTCAGACTCAGCCCATTGTAAGCCACAATGGGTTTTGGTGCTCTTTTAGAAGGGCTGAAGTTAATGAGGTTGAAAGGAAGCTTTTTGACTTTCTCCAGTGATATCCTTCTGCAAGTCCATCATAGTTTCTCAACTTTGCCAAGCCGTTCTTTGGCACAGTGGGAGAAGGATAATTTGGAGGAACAGAAAGACCGTTCACATCTTTGTGGTGCTTTAATAATTGGAAACTTTTGGTCCATTGGCCTAATGTAGTCTTGCCATGCTGACTTCCTTATCCCATGGAGCCTTAAAGAAGGCTGCCTATGTTTCTTCTGGATCCAACATGTCATTTGTTTAAAGCATGCCTGCCAGGATGATTCCAGTTACATTATAAATCTTTACAAAGTAATAAATCTGTTATTCTTTAAGGTGCTGTAGGTGAAATTAAGTACGTGGGATAAAAATGGGCTCTGCATCTGATCTAATAGATAAATTCTAAGAGTTGGGAGGCAGATCTTTAAATCTTACCTCTGTCTAAAACTGCAGGGTGATTTCCCTAAATGAATTCATAAGAACTGTTTTTTTTTATGCTATGGGTTTTCTATGCTATTGTTATTTTATAAATGGGAACTTGTGTAGGAGAGATGTTGACATAACTTGCATTTTCCTGTGGAAGAAGTACAGAAGTGCAGAAAGAAGTGTGAGACATTTCAAATACTGTTACTACTGATGTTATCCACAGTTGTTTTAGTAACATCTAAACAACTATATGTGTAAAAATAATGGTAGAGCATTCTGTACTTTGCAAAGTAGTGGACAGAATAGCAGTTATATATGAAAGCTGTTATTAGGTCACTGTTAGATTCCCCTAACAATTGTTCCAGTCTCCCAGTGTTTTATAGGTGACTGATTTGGTAATGCTGGCCACATGTACTGAGCAGAGCTTTGAATACACACGCAATAATTAACTGCCTTGCAGAACTATGTTAACTGCCATGGAAAGCAAGTTACAGAGTTTTGATGTCAGCTTGATTCTTGTCCCCATTTTGACACATCTAAATAGGAGGTTCAGAGGGTGTATTTCTTGGAATAAGTTCTTCAAGGTTTCTAAAATCAAAACTTTAGCAACTCTTCCTTCAAAAAGTGGGTGGGAAGAGGTAGATGGACTTAAATATTCTGAACAAGGAAAAACTTCTCTTGAGCCTGGCCTTTAGAAGATGATAGCAAATTGACCCAAGATTGCTTGGAAAGCACATCTTGTTCTGTGGCCTGTGCCTGAGGCACTGGTAGTCTGTTTTACATATAATTTGCCCTACTGATAAAGGAAATAAATGTTACAGATATTTCAGCAACATATTTAAAATGCTCTCAGAGTTTCACACATTTCAAGGACCAGACATTTGCCACTAGAAATCAGCCTGTTTTCCTGCCATCAGTATCTTTTTCGTTTTTATAGTACATTTGTGTCTTTCATTCTTATCAGCCTTTCAGATGACAATGAAACTGGAAAGTTACAGCAGCACTGAAAAAGTGACTTATGGCTGTTTTTCACACAACCATTGCAGCTTCCATTTGGTCATGTAGTCAAAATTCAGACGCCTGGCAACTAGCATATAATTATGACAGTTGCACTGTCCTGTGATCACCTTTTGAACCTTTTGACAAACAAAGTCCATAGGAAAACCGGATTCACTTAACAATTGTATTATTAACAGCTGCAGTGATTCACTTAACTGTGGCAAGAAATGTTGTAAAATGGGACAAAACTCACAACATATGTCTTGCTTAGCAAAAGAAATTTTGGTGTCAATTCTCCTAAGTCGAGGAGTATCTATAATTAATATGTGTCCATAACTTGCTTTGCTAAATATATGTTTAAGAGCTAATGGACTGTAAAGAATTACTGGTGATTAGAAAATCCTGTGACTCACTGAGTTATCCTTTGAGACAAAGGTATGTAGTGCAGTCTGAAATGACCAGAATGAACATTAACTTTTAAATCAACCAGTGGGAGCAAGAGTGGTCTCCAATTTCCTAACAGCTTCCCTATTCACTTTGCTTATGGAAAAATAGAAAAAATCATATTGATGTGATCAAGAAATGCTGCAATGGCCATAACTTTGTGAATTAAACTGGTTTGAACATCATGGAAATTTCAGTTCCATAGGAGAAATGAAGCCCGTATTTTTTGTGCATTATTTAATTTAGCAGCCTGGATTCAAAAACTGGTTTAATGCACCATTTGGGATAACTTAAGGGGACAAACAGATAAACATAGTTTTAGCGTAGATAGACAGGCAGGCAGGCAGACAGGTAGTAAGTCCTACTTTGCAGTAAGTCCTACTGATCTCAAAGGGACTTATTTTTGATGTATTTCTATAATGTTATTCAAACCTGCCTTCATAGAAATGCATAGGGTAGGAAGAATACTAAATATTCTACTAATATGTAGGATCATAAATAGGTTTAGACTAACTGCTGTATGAACTCATGAACCTATTTAAGACGGAACATGAATAGACCTTTTAGCATTTGTTATACTTTCAATTATTTTTCTCTGTTTTAGATCACTCATCTATGACATACATTTTCAATGCAGCAGGCAAAAAGGGGAGTCATTTAATAATCTTTGGTGAGAGCACACTTCAACACTGCATAATAACATGAAAAAGATGGGAGTGTAGACGTGTGCAGGTCTTCTCTTAAGGAGGCCACACAGAATTCATTTGGCTTTGGTCCTAATTAAATGAATATAAGGTTACAACCACATGTTAATAATGTGTTCCTGTGATCTTCACTGTGGTCCTTTCAAATGATTCAGTAGGCATTTTTTTCAGAGTCATTGAACATGTTTGTTGTTGCAGATGCAACAGGTTTGCTGTGTGTGTGTGTGTGTATGTATGCATATCATGCATCTGATACTGCAACTTTGGGCCGCTTTTAATAATATAAAAAGTTAAAAAAGTGCTAAAAACAATAAAAATTAGAAAAATTGAATACAGAAGTTAAAAGTTAAAAACCACGATGGTGGGCATTCTGGGGTTGAGAATCTTCTTTAGCTCATCAGCCAACCCCAATGTAACAGATTCCTGTTTGGGGCTTCAGGCCAAACAGCACAGCCACAGCTCTTCCAGAAGGCCAGGAACGTGAAGGTGAACTTCACCTCTAATGGCAGAATATTCCAGAGGGTGGGAGCCACAGCAGAAAAGGCTCTTCTCCTGGATCCTGCCAGTCAAAATTCTTTGGCTGACAGGATCTGAAGTAGGCCTTTTACACTGGAAAGAGTAAGATGGGTTAATCCCATTGGGGTGAGACAGTTCCTCAGAGTCCCTGGACTCATGCCACAGAGAGCTTTAAAAGTAATGACCAACATCTTGAATTAGACCTAGAAGCAAACTGACAACCAGTGCAACTTGCATAATGGTAGTGTCACATGTGCCACCCAAGGGCTTCCAAAATAGTGCACACTGGCCACTACATTCTGTACCAATTGTAGCTTTCGAACACTCTTCAAGGATAGCCCCATGTATGCATGTTGCAGTAATCCAGTTGGGAGATGACTGGGGCATGACACTGCATGCAGGGCCTCATCATCCAGGAAAGGGCACAGCTGGCTTACAACATGAAGTTGCACAAAGGCTCTCCTAGACATGACTACCACCTACTCTTTGAGCAGGGATTGCGAATCTAGGAGAAGCCCCAGATTTTGCACTGGGTCTTTCGGGGATAGTGCAATCCCATCCAGAACTAAGAATGATAAATCTCAGGTCCTGCAGCCCCTTGAATTCTTCAGCTGAATCCTGTTGCCCCCCCCCCCCATCTAAATTGTATTCCATTATAACTAGAGTCCATCAAATTTGAAGGGTTCTGTAATCCCCTGTTGTTTATTGAAGGAAGAGCTGTCTGTTAATAAACAGAACCAAGAGAAAATGCAAAGAAATAGCCAAGCAGATTTGACATTTATTAAATTGAGATGATTGCATATTCACAAATAGATAACATTTTAAATTTTAGATTTCACTACTATGCTGCAAGAACACTGAAAGTATATTTATTCTGTTATGCATCTCTCCTGTCTTCCTCATGTTCCCTGCTTAAATTGTTGGCTATTTCCAGTCTCATTTACTGTTTGTTTCATTTGTTTGCTTTGGGTTCTCCCCACCTTTTAACTACTTTTGGATTATAAACATATTGTACATGAACTGTAGAACTTTTTAGTTTAGAAAGCAAACTGTAATATTTTAATCTGTACTTAGTTTTTAAAGATTTATTAGCAGCTTACTGTTCTTGGGTTGTTTACAGGTTCCAGAATTTATTTGTTTTCATCTAATTTGGCTGTAATAATCCCTCTTTTGGCGAATAGCAACATGATGTCAAATAGAAATAATCTTGCTTACCACAGTCTTGGAACAGGTATGTAATTCATTACTTATGGTAATCCTTCTTTAGCATTTAATGACCTAAAACTATTGGCTAATTATGATGCAGTCCAAGTTAGACTAGGCTTTGCATGCTATCTCATCATTAATGATCAAAATAACTTATTCATAGGTAAAATGTTCAGGATTGGTATAGCTACAGGAGTCATTGTTTGTATGTATTCTAAACAAGATAAGCTTTGACTTCCTATCCTCCTAAGTAATGTTGAATCTCTAGTTTTCTGCCTGTTTAAGAAACTAGCAAATATATTGTTTCAGTATAACTTTAATTAGCAAGTACTTGTTTACTAACATATGAAATAGCTACTGTGCAGTGAAAGTTAATCAATTTCAACTCTAGTTGACCTACAGCTTGGAAGGATCTTTTTTCCAAAACAAGCTGTTTGTATTAACCTGGAAGTGCTAATTAAGCCATAACAGAAATCATATTTAGCAAGAATATCATAAATAAGACAACATCATTTTTAAAAATAATGTGGCTGAGTAAAATTAGCAGTATTCATATTTTGCTTCTATGCTTGCTATGTTACTGAGCCAGTTGTTATCTTCCATTTTTCTCTTGTGTTTTGGTTATGATGATGTACTATGGATTTTTTTTTACTTATTAAGGATAGCTGCATATTTTTATTGGACTGCTGTAAACTACTATTGATTCATCGGTATACAAATGGTATAAATAAATATTTTTTCCCTATTCCTTTATTTCCATTGGTCAGTAGACTAAAGCATTGCATACAAATACAAAATACTGAAAATAACTCTTGGAATTACATTTGAAACACATGCAAATGTTTCAATCTCTGGAATTTCCCAGATGATTTAGAGAGCTGCTGCTAATCAAAATAGACAATAGTGAGCAGGATTATTGCTTCCTCCTCTAAACCTCTTTAAGATTCCATATATTTAATCAGAACCAGATTTGCAGATGCTCAAAATCTGCTTTCAACAGCTTAATTTAAGTTTGGAATGAATAAAGGAACAATAATGAGCAATTTAGAGTGTTGTATGTGTTAGCACTTTAATCAAATTATTCTTGTATGTGCTGGGTGGAGTACTGCAAAGTTCTTGCTAATGCACAATATTTTCCATGCTTTGTTTCCTCCCTGTTGCATATATTCTTTTTTTTAAAATATCACTGATAATTTGAAATGCAATTAAGGGAAATAATGCTGTGGTTTTTGTTAAAGACCTGCAAAGTGGGGAGACTCTCTCCAATATTGTAGGTCTTCTCCAAAAGATAAAAATGATCAAAAGTAAAGACAGGATTTAAAGGCTAACATATTTCAACCTGAAATTACAACCTGACTCTTCTAGCTTGATTAAATTATTTCTATAGTGGAAGTTATTGATATCTGATAACTTGATTGCAATAGTAAAAACAGAGTTTTGATATTGTGAATTGACCATGCAATAAACCTTAAGACTATAGTCCTCAGTTCACTTACATAAGAATTAACTAGTTGGACCCAGTGGGAAATACTTCTAAAAACTCTTGTATAAGATTGCAAAAAAATTTACACCTTTATTTTTATGGATGCTGTCATAGATTTCATTCAGATCCTAAGAAGTTCTCAGTTGAGTTTTACTGATTTTAATTGGTGGTGGGGATTAAAGGAAATGGGCCTAGGGGATCTTATAATAACCCTGTTGTCTGGGGTGTTGGTCATCAGAGAACTATTAAATTTTATTATTTTTCTTAAATCAGCTTCTGACATCCTCAATAAAGAATTTATGCTGGACCATGTGTTAGAAATAATGTTTATCAATCTGGTAACTATGATGAGAATGATCCAGTTGAATAATGCCCCTTTGTAATAATAAAACCCCTTTTCATGTAATGTATTGTTTCTACTTGCTAGCTAAGTTTCCCAATGAATCCAGAGATATTTGGAACAGGGAGAAAGATTGGAAAGCAATACAGGTAGTCCTCGTTTAGTGAACGTTCAAAGTTACAGTGGCATTGAAAAAAGTGACTTAGGGCAATTTTTCACAATTACGACCACTGCAGCATCCCCATGATCATGTGATTAAAATTCAGACGCTTGGCAACTGGTTCATATTTATGGTGGTTACTGTATCCCAAGGTCATGTGATCACCTTTTGCATCCTTCTGACAAGCAAAGTCAATGGGGAAGCCAGATTCACTTAACATCTGGGTTATTAACTTATCAACTACAGTGATTCTCTTAAACAACTATTGCAAGAAAGGTCATAAAACTGGGCAAACTCACTTAACAAATGTCTCACTGAACCATAGAAATGTTGGGCTCAATTGTAGTCATAAGTTGAGGACTACGTATACTCAGTCTATTGAGGAATTCTCTCCTTCTAGTTGCATAAAAAATGACATAGCACACTGAGACGTCTCCCCCTCTCCCTTCAGTTACATCCCCTTATAAATTGGAGTGTAAAATTATTTGTCAGTGTTAACATCCACAGTGTTGAATTCCTATTTCTCAGGTTTCGTATAACAAGAATGTGGGTTGTTGTTGAAAAGAATGTGGGTTGTTGTTGTTTTTTAATCAAGTGATTTGAAAATAGTTTCTAAAATTACTCATCCTTATGATCACTTCTACAAGTTTGTTGTTGAATTCAAGTTCCATGGAGTATGAATTTAAAAGTACTGCAAGCTAGGAAAAAAGAATAATTCACTTGTTAAAACTCTTTCCCGTTCTTCTCTTTCTTTTTTCTTTTTACAGATTCCAACAAGATGTTGGAAGAATATGGCCATATGCAAAACCAGGTGGAATTACAAAATACCAATTTGGGAAAAGAGGTAGTTATGAATTCTCTTGAAACTGATCTTCAGCATATAATGGACAAACTCAGCCAAAAAAAATACTCATCCAGTCTGAAATTAAAAACAAGTGAAGACTATTCTGGTTCTTATTTAACTCTCTCCCAGCCTCTGGCACCTAAACTGAGTCCTGCATCCAGTGTTAAAAGTATGCCATCTGTTTCCAAAATTCAGGGAATCAAACCTTTGGCTTGTGAGAACTCTTATCTTTCGGACAAAAATGCTTCTCAAAAGCATATGGGCCCCATTTCAGGCACATTCTCATCGTTAAGTGGGTGCAGCCTTGGAAAGAAAGACTTTGATATTTATGCTACCAGGGAAAATGAAAAACAGTTTGGACCTCTGAGTAGATTTCCCTATTCAAAGTTCAGTCAGAAGAATAAATCTCATGATAGTGTCTATTTCCCAGGAGCACCGGATGGGTGGAAAAACTCTGGATCTCTTCTTACAATGTGGAATGGGAATTCAGGAAATGATATCGTTATTTCACCATTCGGCAGCTCTGGAGCTGCCAGTATGCCCTCTAGTCCAAAACAAAGCAGGAAAATGAATATACATGACATTATGTCCGTTCAGGCTAGGTCAGCTAAACAAAAGGATTCAGCAATGGAAGCTCTGGGGCCCAAAACCAGAAAACATCCGGGTGGTTCATTGAGCCACATGGGAGTTTATAGTCGGTCATTGCCCAGGCTTCATAAATCAGCAGAAAGCCAACTCACACCACTGAGTTTACCACCGAGAAACTCTTTTGGGAATTCCAAAAGAAAGAAGACTATTGAAAAAGACTTTCTACCTCAGAATATACTGGATCCTGACAATTACCTTCATTTTTCTTCTTGCACTTCAGGAATATTGCCATACTCAAATTTTGCACCTGAAGTGAATTCCTATGTAAATTCAACTCTCAGTGTTCCTGCAAGCCCCCGGGTAGCTAGGAAAATGCTTCTGGCATCCACTTCCTCATGTGCATCTGATGACTTCGATAAAGTTGGATTGTCAGGAACAAGCCCTAGTAATTCATTTATTCCCTTTGATGCTGAGAGAGGGTTTCCTGCAAGAAGGAGGATTTCCAATGGCTCCATGGAGTTTGATGAAACAGATTTGGAAAGCCATAGGCAGACTCCTTCCATTCGAGAGAGAAAGAGCAGCATTAGTTCTGTTTCTGGAAGAGAAGACCTAATGGACTACCATAGGAGGCAAAGAGAAGAAAGGCTGAAAGAACAGGAAATGGAGAGACTGGTAATATATTTTTTCCCAGTTAATTTCTAACAGTGTTTGCTATTACCATATCAAATATTACCCTTAAAGTTACTTATTACGTATATATGCAACTGTTTTAGTTTACAATTCAGGTGTTTGATTTTTCATGTGCACCAGTGTTTACCAAGGCACAAAAATTGGTCAAATCACGTCCTGTTTTAAAAATCTAAGCAGTGCAAGGAAGCCATCTATATGGGGTAGGAACTTGAAAGAACTTGATGGTGCTTCGACTTGTGTGTTCTGAAAAAATGATCAGGTAGTTACGAGCCGCAAATTATATCCTGCAGGGACCCAGTATTTCAGAAAAAAAAATGTTGATGACACTGTTGTTTTGCAGTGGTAGGATATGTAAAACATGTTTCCCAGTTCTATAAATTATAGTCAGGCATTATTTCAACAGAATATTTCTGTTTTGGATCAATCAAAATTGGTATATATTAAACTTAGGCAGTTTGTAACTGCATGTACTTACTTTCTGTGCCATTATTATTGTCATCAGCTTGCTTTTAAATTATCTAATATTAATATACTTAATATTCTTAAATATAAGAATTTTTATTTTTTTATGTTTTAAGATGACGTGATACTCATTATTTAAAAAAAACTATATTAATTTAAGCACATTGAATAGTTCCTATATCTTAGAGAAAAACCTTAAGTCATCTGTGATTTTTTTTCAACTCTGTGAAACATTTTAGGGTAGGAAAGCATAATTGTCAAGAATACATCAGAAATGAACATATATCTTAGAAATTAAATTTTGATAAATGGAAATTCACTATACATTTCATTTTATGGGTGTAATATGTAAATAATTCCCCAAATACATTCATCTTCACTTATTTCCACTTAATTGAGTGACCCTTGCAGACAAGAACTTCTTCACTTGGAATTGTTCCCATTGTCTTTTGTTTGTGGGAAAAAATGGCAGTCAGCTAAACAAAAGTTGAGTACATGTGCCAAATATAGTAGCAGTTTATTTGTTCTGAGGAAATTGTCCTTTCAAACTCATCTAATTAAACAGATAAAGTGCACATTGCATTGAAGAATAACTAATTAGTGTCAGAAGAAAGGAAAGAGAAGATTGGAGAAAGAAAACCACACTATTAATCATAGGCACAATCTAGTTCAGTCTTCTGCTGCAGTTAGCTTGGAACTATAAATTCCAAAACTTCTAGGTCTGATAAAGCTGATACAATAAGTGTCTGTCTACAGAATGTCTGCATTTAATGTTTAAAAAAATGAATTGAGATAGTCCAGATAAGGGCACAGGTACAGTATGGGGAAAAATTCTTAATTCCTAGGTTCCAGTCTCCCCCCCCCCCCCGCTTAATGTATGTACAGTTTTACAGTTTTCCTTTTTAAAAATAACTTTGTTTTTTGTATGTGCTTGAATTAGAAAAACCTTTATGATGAAACTACTATGGACACCTTAAGGATGGGCAGAGGTGAAAACCATAGATGGGTATAAAACTGATATAGAATTGTCTCATAGCTACACCCTAATTTTAGGGTCTGCAAGTTCTGGGCCGCCAAATATCACTCTGTATTGCTTTTGATAGAGAGAGGGAGAATATTCTATACAGTATTTACTGCCTCCACCTAGTAATTGTCTGGATTTTTGTATCCAAGAACTTTACCCTACCTAACTATTGTAAAAAATTAGTCATTAAAGAGTACTGAAAATGGTTTTAATTTTGCAATTCTCATTTAAGTCAGTAGAGGCTGATCTATTCTATGTAGCCTGGGAAGCAGTATAAACCCAAGATATTTTGTTTCCTAAGATGGTAGAATCAATGGTATACCTTCTTTATGTTACTTTATGTGCCCTCAAAGAAGGGGTGTAGAAGTGACAGAAGGACTTATTTTACACTATATAATAACAATTTATTTATTTTTAATAACAGTAAATTAAGAATCTGCTGTTCTTTCATTACATTTTTATTTTATGCTTGACAGGTTGCCTAAAACAGTGACAGATAGTCTTTTTAGGATAAAGATCATATGTTTTGGTCATATAGTATACTGGGGATTGAGTGATACAATTTAGAACAGTCTTTAAATTAAAAATAGTTTTAAAAATTGAATTCCCTCCAAAAATGTGTCTTAACATCTTATGAAATTGCATAAAATTTTGATATTTTTGCATGATTTCTTAAGCAAGATTGTTGAAATATATGGCAATTATATGAGATTCTGTTTTATTATCATAAAATATTTTTATTTTAATTTACAGTTCGGGTTCCAAGGCTTGATGTCCATTGATGAAAATGGAAAAATGCATGTCTTTTGAATTGCATATAACCATTTGCTGCTGTGCAACAATTAATGTGATACTCACTAACCTACCTCACAGGATTGTTGTTATGGGAAAAATAGGTGAAGTTGCGTTGGATATATTTGTTCCCTCGAGTTATTTATAAAAATAATAAAGGTGGGATACAAATAAATACTTGAAAAATAGGAAAAGCAGGGAAATATGCTTCAGAAGCAAAATATAGCTTCTGCGAAAGATGTCCTAAAATCCTAAAAGTAATCAGAAATATTCCTACATTGTGAAAGCTCTTGATATTGGTGTAAAAATTAATGAGAAAAAAATATAATGAATTATTTTGAAAATTTCTTCAATTATACCTTTATAAAGGCTGAACGAAATCATTTTCTGTTTAGAGACAGGATAAAGGGTTTTTTCCCCAAAATTTATTTGACAGCTGTTTCCTTTGCACAGTTTTGTTTTTCTGAACAGGATGTAAGTTCACTTGCTTTGAAACATATTAAAAAGTTAAAGTGAGCGCATGTTTATGTATACAGGAATTTCCCTTCACTTAATTGGTTTTCTGTTTTAGCATCCTGGTAAGGATTATTGTTGTGAAAGATCCTAGATTGGAATATACATTCAAACATTGTGGAGGCATTCACAAGTAGAATAATGCATTCATTTGATAAATGTTTTGAAGGTCAACTCACTTGTAGTTCTAGTTCAGTTCTCCTTTTGAGAAGCTTCTTGAGGTTGTGATTTAGTTAAAACTTTTGGTTGCACTGCTACAATCACTTTTTGATTCAGCTGGACTTGGAGAGGGTTAATCAGAACAAAGGGAAACCCAAATTCCATTGAAATGAAGTGAATTTGACATTTTATTCCTTTGAAAAAGAATATACGTTCTATATTCAGAATTCTGATTTTAAAATTCTAAATTTAAAATTAACAATGGCAAACAGTTGAATGGAAAGAATTTATTTTTAGAGAAAAAAATGAGCACTTTAAAAAAACCTGAGAGATAAGAAAGATATTAAGATTTGTCTAGGAATATACCTCATTAAACTCACTGTGATCTGACTTTATAAGATGCATTTGAAACAAATAGACAGACAGAGACTGGGGCTATCATATGCTCTAAAAATCCAGACCACTGGAAAGAATAAGAATTTAAGAGTTTTCTGCATCTGACATTTAATGTTTCCCCAGATTTTTACCATTTAGATCTGGTAATCCTAGAACTGTCTCAACTTTCAATACCCTGGAGGCAGGCAATATAAAATACCGTACATATTTTAAATGTTTGAAATATGTAAAAATTCTGAATCAAATTTTGTCAGGCTGAGAATGAAAAAGAAAGAAAGAATATTTATATGAAAGCAAACACTTGAGTTATTTTTCTTGTTCTGTTTATTCTGAACTAAACTACAAAGGCCATTTCTAGCAAGGCAGGTAAATACCTAGTTATATGTCAAAGGTGAGTCAGTATCTATACTTAGAAACTGTGAACAAACAATATATTTTTCTGTAAAACAAAAACATTCTTTCAATTTGTTACCGGATAACCACTTAGTAGGAAATGCATTTCAGATATGGTTTTCACATTTGCTGCTGAAGGGTTGAAATTAAACAAGTGCTTCTGCAAAAAAAGCAGTTACTTTTGGTTACTGGAGAAAAGAGAGGGGACAATAACAAGAGAGTTTGATAACTTTGCCTCTAGTGCAGAGATAGGCAACCTTGGCTGTTTTATGACTCGTGGACTTCAATTCCCAGAGTTCCTGAGCCAGGCTGGCTCAGGAATTCTGGGAGTTGAAGTCCACGAGTCATAAAACAGCCAAGGTTGCCTACCCCTGCTCTAGTGCCTAAGCTGAGATTTTCAGTTTTTTAAAGAAATTCACACTTTTACCTCTAGATGGCAGTCTTAAATTAAAAATAATTGATTTATATAGTCACATAATTTGGTTCCAGATGTTTCATATCACAGCAATGAATAAACTGCAGATGGGTCAATATACTTACATTCTAGTCCAGCAATCCTTTAATATTCTCTGGACACGTGTATGTATATATATGTGGGGGGGTATGTATCTATACATATTAATTCCATATTCTTTCGGATGCTTCTTTTAAAAGGAAAAAACCAATTTCTTTTCATTAGTAAAGTTATGTATTTATTACATAGAAATATGATGCTCTTTTGTATATTTCTCAGTAAGAATAGCACTTAGCAATAGCACTTATACTTATATACCGCTTCACAGTACTTTACAGCCCTCTCTAAGCAGTTTCACAGTTAGCATATTGCCCCCAATAATCTGGGTCCTTACTTACTGACCTCGGAAGTCAACCTTGATCAGGTGAGTCAACCTTGACCAGGTGAGACTCGAACTGCCCAACTGCTGGCACTGGCAATCAGCAAAAGTAGCCTGCAGTACTGCATTCTAACCACTGCACCAACATGGCTCATGAATGGTGACTATTAAACAATTTTTAACAAAATGTTATTGCACAATGGCTTTAACTGTATATGTATGCAGAGCTTATGGATGTATGATTATTACCTAGTTTTTTTAACTGCCTAGAACCTTAAAAGCAAATAAACCAATGATATTTGTTCGTATATAATCAAAGGTTGAAGTCAGTTATCTGGATAGGTTTAGGTAGGACATTAGCTACCAGGTGATAACAGCCATGTAATTTTATTGTGAATTACATTATTGTGAATTACATTATTGTAATAATCCACACTGCACCTGCATTACTGTGTCCACTTCTGGACAACACACTTTAGGAATAATGATTTTATCAGACTGGATCATGTCAGAGGACAGCAGTCAGGATGGTAAGTGGCATGTAATAATAATAATAATAGAATAATGACAGCAGGTTTGTAGTTTACTTTGGCTAGCAAATAAGACTCTGAGGAGATGATATCTCCTTTCAGTATAAGAAACTGCAGAATTATTAACATTTGTTCCATAAGACAAAAAAAGAAAAAGAGAAAAATAATTTATTAATAATGTGAATAATGCATAAAATAGGCTTTGTTTGAACATTGGGAAAAATCATCAGTAAAAGTTATTTAACAATGAAAAATTATCTTGGGAGACGGTGAACCCTTTTTCATGGAGTTATTTAAATAGAGAGGATGATCATTTAGCAGAAGGTTGTAGGAGTGGATTTCATTGAAAGATGATTGAACTAGATCAGGGGTCGGCAACATTAAACACTCAAAGAGCCACTTGGACCCATTTCTCACAGAAAAGAAAACACTGGGAGCCACAAAACCCTTTTGACATCTAAAATGAAGATAACACTGCATATATCCTTTTTTGCCTTTATGCTATGTATAAAAATACTATAGTGTGTTGCATTTATGAAATCAATGAACTTCTACAAAGAAAACAATTTTTTATGCAGGAGAAAGAGGGAAAAAAACCTTTCTCCTTCATCCCAACAGGTGAAAACAATTTTAGTAGCTTATCTACCATCTTTAAATACAGCATAATTATCCCCATACCTCATCTCTTAATTAAAAAAAATCAAAATCTCTCTCTTTCCTCTCCCCCCATCTCTATTTTCTGGGATAACTTGGGAGGGTTACCTCTCTTGGCGTCCATCACTCCCCTGAGGCCAGTTCATATCTGCCACAATCCAAATTCCCTGCTGGGGGGGAGGAAGCAGAACCCAAAACTCTTTTCTCGCTCTCTCCCTGGTTGAGTTGGGAGCTCCATCCCAGGACATGGCTGGGCTCTGTGGACCCCCTCGGCGGGGCGGGGGTCAACCCTCCAGCTCTGACCAGTGAGCGGCACAGCCAGCCCCCCTTGGAAGACTCCCAAAGCCACTCAGCCGGGCTCCCTTCGCTGTCTCTCTGCAAAAGGTGGAGGAGGACTGGAGCCGCAGGAGAAGGCTGAAAGAGCCGCATGCGGCTCCAGAGTTGCGGGTTGCTGACCCGTGAACTAGATGATCCAAGGCCCCTTCCAATATTTTATGTTTCTATTAATAAAAAAAGAAAAAGACCTTAAAATTCTGTTGGAGTACATCTCTCATATTTGACTCTATAATTTGAAAGTTATTTTCCTACCATTTCCATTGAAAACAAGAGACTAATTTGGTGACCAATCACTCAGATCAGCTATCTATAATTTAAAATACAATATTCTACATAAAGATGAATTTTGGCTATGTATTTACATACTGTATACATATTTGAATTGGCTTGAAAAACACAGTTTACTATAAATTTGTAGAATGAAAGTACAGTGAAATAAGGAATAGCTGGAGGCCTGTGATGAAAATAGATACCACAAAATAGCAGCCCAAAGAATTTCCTGCACATAAGTTCTCTGATATCATGTTGTGCACTTTGAAATAGAAATGATGTAATGTAACCTGTTTCCCAATTACCACTGTTGTAGTGATTAAAACCAAGGGAAGTATATTTCTTGCTTAAAAGGAGAAGCATTTTTATAAAAACGGGGTAAGCAGCAAGAATTTGTCATTTCTTACTATTTTCAGCTGTTTTGGGGTGGGTGGGTGCGTGTGTGTGTGTACAAGTGCAAGAGAGAGAGAAACTTCCTTTTTACCAATTTGTGTTTTTAACTGGTGGTTATGGTAGATACTTTTTAGCAAAGAATAAAAATCTGTATAGTGCCAAGATAGCATTCAGTCCAAAAGTAAGAGTTTGGTACATATCGTTGTCAAAGTACACCTCGGCTGCATTCATTTGGAACTGGGCAGAGGAAAATACGTGTGTGTGGGCTACTATTTGATACATCCTGCATTCTGAAGGTTGAGTGAGGAAAAAGATACCAAAACGAACATATCCTGTCACTATATGTGGGGGTGGGCTCAGTGAACAAGCATTGTTTATTTCAGTTCTTAATAACTGCTGTGAAGGTAGCATTAAAGTCAAATAATGGCTGAATGTTGGTGTTCCTGGCCAACAGTCAGACGAAGCTTTCAGAAATGGGTTGGGTACTCAAAGGATTCAGCTTTAAGAGGAAGAGAACAAACACTGTTTAAGCAAAAGAAGAGAGAGCTGAAGGCTTATGGTGAAAATGCTTGGAGGGAAGAAAGGAGTTTTAAGGTGCAAGGATTTCATTGTCATTTTGTCTTTCTAATTTAGTATTTTGTTTGAAAAGAGGGAGGAAGGGAATATAAATTAAGGGATAATTTAAAAATATAACTTAATTTTTAATACCACATTTGAGTTTTTCTGTATACATAGGCTAGGCAGATTTAAAAATCAACTGAGTTGAATAGTTAAGAGATTATTTTTTTCTTTTAATAAAGAAGTTTCTGCATTAATTTCACAGATATGCAGACATTTGATTATTCAACTTGACACCCTCCTCCAATTCCTGCTAAAACAAAGGGTTAAGCAGACTTCAGTACTTATTATGTGCATTTATTTAGGATTATATCCTTTTAACTCAACAAGCTTTTCTAAGTAATTAGGCAAAGACTTTGATTACATCTAATGTCTTTATCTTTGCTTTCTCTTATCTTTGCTTTTAAGGAAAAGAGGAATTTGAATTCATTGTTTTGGGTTATCTTGGGAAATGAGCATCTCTTTGAAATACAGGTAGTGCTCAACTTATGACCACAATAAATGAGAAATTTGTTAAATCAGTTTTGCCCCATTTTACAACTTTTCTTGTCACATTTGTTAACTGAATCACTGCAGTTGTTAAATTAGTAACACAGTTGTTAAGTGAATCTGGTTTCCCCATCGACTTTGCTCGTCAGAAGGTCGCAAAAGGCGATCACATGATCTCGGGATACTGCAACTGTCACAAATATGAACCAATTGTTAAGCATTTGAATTTTGATCACATGACCATGGAGATGCTGCAATGGTCATAAGTGTGAAAACGGTCATAAGTCACTTTTTTCAGTGACGTAACTTCAAATGGTCACTAAATGGACTGTTGTAAGTCGAGGATTACCTGTACTATGAAGAATATGTATCTTGAGATGAAGCTTCTCAGTATATGTGTTGGTTGTTACTGCTTTTTAATGCGGAGTAGATTTCTATGGTACCTTAGCTCGCAGATTGAAAATACATTCTCTTAAAATTGTGACATATTACACTTAAAGATAGAAAGCTCTTGAGTTAGCAATAGATTTTGTAAGATTGTGATGTTGTAAAATGACTTTCTCAATAAGTGTGATTCAGCAACCCAGTTAGATGTTACTAAAGTGAAATTATTCATACAATTTTCTGTTTATGCTTTTTTATGCTAATATAATTTTTTACCATCCTTTCACTTGCTTTCAGACCAATTATGGAAACATAAGAAGAAATTCCAAGGGGATAGAGTATAAGGATATTGATTTTTTAAAAGAAAAATAAAATTATACTTTTTCTTTAAAAACTGTCTTACATGCAGAAGACTTATGAAAGACATAATCTTTGAAGGGTTCTTTATTAGTAGGTAGCCACCTTTAGATATATAGAACAAAATTTGTTGCAGACCTGAAATATAAAGGTGTAACTGTCTAAGAGAGTATTATCTAATGAGAAATTCCCATATTAAAGCAATGAAGCTAAAGCTATAAATATTTATTTATTTTAAACAAATTTATAGGCCACCCAGTTCACAACGTTGGCTCTGGGTGATTTACAACATTAAAATATAACAGGTAAAAAAACCATAAACTCCCCTTCCGCACTCACCCAGCCACTTGAAGGGTCCTCAGATCTGCTGACAAAAACACGTATTCAAGGTCTTCTAGAAAAGTAACAAGGTTTTACTTTGTTAAGTAACTTTGTTAAGTAATTCAGTCTCTGGGAGAATGATAGTCCAAAGAATTGGGGCACCATAGAAAAGGCCGTTTCCTTGGCCCTACAAGGTGTGCCTCTATAATAGAGGGATCTACAACATACCTTTTCCTTCCTGTTCTGGTGGGCTGGGGAGATGTAGTTCAAAAGACTTCAATGGAAAAAGAGGAATATGAGAAAAGCAAGAGAAGACAAAAACCACATAAAATTCAAAGCAAAATCAATAGTAGAGTAAAACTAGTTACTTCCTTGAATAGTCTTGCCTTTTAGTTAATGCTCAAGGTTTATTGCGGACTTAAAATAGATAGGCTTTTATTTCCTTGGCGGCCATAAGATAACCTTTGTTCTTTCTTTTATACTTCTTTTTTATGTTGTGAAATATTTTCAGTTTTATAGAATGTGGAAGAAAATGAAAGCCATTACTTTTATTGTCATTTTGCACAATTGAATATTTATCTGTCTATCAATTAATCAAATTTATTTGCTGCCCATCTCACGGTTCACGATGACTCTTAGCGCTTGAACCACAAACTATATTCAGTCTCTGATTTTATGAGTTTAGTAATAAATTCTAAAATAAATGGGGAGGGGGTTTGAAACTGCCTTTCTTAGGGCCGTGTGATTGAATTTGGAGGTGCTAGCTAATATTCACTGGTGGTGCCATTCTGATTATTCATTGGATTCTGATTATCCATGAATACTGAAATTCTCCTTTAATCTGTATATTCAATATAAATATTATTCATAATTTAGAATAAAGTTTGGTTGTCATTGGTAGTTTCTGTATGCCTGAAAAATATGTGAAACTGTGGTATATATTCTACTTTTAATTATTTGTTTCAATATTAGGAGCGTCAGAGGCTAGAGACCATTCTTAATCTGTGTGCAGAATATTCCAAGCCTGACAATGAACCTGCCACAATCACTACTGTAGCTGATGTTCAGAAAATTAATAAAGAACTTGAAAAACTCCAGTTGTCTGATGAAGATTCTGTCTTTGAAGATTCTCAGATAATAGCAGACTCAAGATTCAGAGATCATTTGCAGCTTCCAGCTGAAGATTCTGATTTCTCTGAATTCAGTGATCTTGGACAAAATTCTATGGGTTTCTTTTCCTCAAGAGGAATCAGAACGAATAAGCATTTAAATGGCAACAGGACGAGTTCACCTTTATCTTCTGCTTTCCTGAAGGATGTCACGGAATCTCCCTATCTAAGCATTATGTCAAAGGTAAATAGAATACTTTTCTGGTGGAAGGATCAGTAGATATCGCCTGTAAATTTTAACTGTTAGTATATTTTGCCAAATGCAATTCCAGACATACTTATTTTTTTTCTTTTTAAGACTGTTCCAAAGACTTTTTGGAGGGTGGGTGGGAGAGGGAAAGAAAGTTCTTTTCTGGAGGCACACACAGATTTCAGTATAGTTTGTGATTGACTATCATTATCAATATAATAATGATGATGAAGAAGAAGAAGAAGAAGAAGAAGAAGAAGAAGAAGAAGTAGTAGTAGTAGTAGTAGTAGTAGTAGTAGTAGTAGTAGTAGTAGTAGTAGTAGTAGTAGTTGGAAGGGACCTTGGAGGTCTTCTAGTCTAACCCCTGCTCAGACAGGAAACCCTGTACCATTTTGGACAAATGGCTGTCCGGTCTCTTCTTAAAAACTTCCAGTGTTGGAGCATTCACAGCTTCTGGAGGCAGGTTGTTCCATTGGTTAATTGTTCTAATTGTCAGGAAGTTTCTCCTTAGTTCTAGGTTGCTTTTCTCCTTGATCAGTTTCCATCCGTTGCTTCTTGTCCTGCCTTCAGGCGCCTTGGAGAATAGCTTGACTCCCTCTTCTTTGTGGCAGTAATTTTCAGATGCCACTTCTGTTCAGCAAAAGCTACTTTCCAGAAAATATATCTTCCTTTGATATGACAGGAAGGAATCAATCATGAGCATCATCACACAGATTGCAGTTGTATCACTAAAGAGGCAGCCTTTTCATTTTATATGTTGACACCTAGTTCAAATAGATTATCTTCAAAATGTCTAGAGAAAATGATCAAGAGATATTTTTAATAAGGAAAAAAACCTTATCTGTTTTTTTCTTTTTTTTCCTGTTCAAGTCAGTGTTGAGTCTTGGTGACTGTCTGGGCCAGTCCAGGGTTTGTAAGGGGGGGGGGGTTGGCAAGATTTTTGGAAGTAGTTTGCTATTGCCTGAGAGAATGTGACTGTAATCAAGGTTGTACAAATGCCTAAAGTGGCGCTAGAACTCATTCCCTCCCACTTTCAAGCCTGATTCCTTTTACCCACAGCATTGTAGGAAACACTCTAAATAGGATTTCTGGAATTACATTTTAAAGACTTTTTGTACCAAGCTTTGAAATGATTTAACATTTATTACGCTTTGTGCATGCTTTTGTGTTTATGCTTATTTTGTTTATAGAAAAAAATATGAAAGTGAATGAATATTCTGAAACATACTGTAACCAAACTAGATTATCTAACATGCATATTAGGTTGTTATTATTATAATTTAATTTTAGGTTGGTTGTTTTTAGGAAAAGAAAGAAAAATGATAATTGCATGCTTATCCTTTAAAAACTCTTCTTTTAAAAAAATGCAATTATTGATTTGTTACAGTCACCAGAATGCATAAGCCATGAACAAGTAACATCAGAACTTAATCAAATGGAAGAACAGCGCATTATAATACTAAATAACCTGGAAGAACTTGAACAAAAGATCAAAGACTTAAATGATCAGATGGATGAATCCTCCAGAGAGGTATAAGATCTCTTTTGTTTATTTCTGAATGATGGATTTTCATCTTTAAATATGCTATAAATTCTTGTTATAGAATCCGTACTTATACAGATAATTAAAATGGCATTTTTCATAAAGAATATTTCATGATCACAAATAAAGTGAATATTCAAAGAAATAATTATATCTGTTAACTTCACCCACAATATTGACTAATTCCTTTAACACTTTCCTACATGGAATTAGCCCTAGATATTATTATATGTCAGATACAAAACTAAGATAGGTTAAGATAATTAGATTTAGCAGTTATAATCTAGACCAGGGAGTAGTCAACCTTGGCTCTTTTATGACTCGTGGACTTCAACTCCCAGAATTCCTGAGCCAGCTAAGCTGGCTCAGGAATTCTGGGAATTGAAGTCCACGAGTCATAAAAGAGCCAAGGTTGACTACCCCTGATCTAGACTGTAAATTGGATACTGGTAAATTAGGCCTCAATTTAAGCCTCCGAAAGTTGTTTGGTATAGAGATGAGCAACATACAAATTTAATGAATTTAATCAATAAATAATTTGGGGCTACACTCTTGCTTTTCATACTGCCAATGAAATTATACATATTAGTTCAGAATTAAATCCTTCCGTATATATTGGGATTTATTCTGTACTATATCTTTAAAGAATTGTACTCTTGAAGATTTGTTTGGCAGAATATTATAGTACGTTGTACTTACATTTTGTAAATATAAGAACATTACAGATAGATACCAATTTGAATTGACTACTGCTGGCAATGATAGCCAATATGGCAATTGCTATGGATACTGTATGATTTCAGTAAATTGTACTTCTGAAAGCCCAGAGCATCCAAAGGCATGAGCCATGATGACGCAGTGCTTAGAATGCAGTAGTGGAGGCTAATTCACTACTCGCTGCCAGGAGTTCGATCCTAGATTAGAATAGAATAGAATAGAATAGAATAGAATAGAATAGAATAGAATAGAATAGAGCTGGAAGGAACCTTGGAGGTCTTCTAGTCCAGCCCCCTGCTCAAGATTGACTCACTGGCTCAAGGTGGTAAAGTGAGGACCCAGAATGCTGGGGGCAATATGTTGACTCTGTAAACTCCTTAGTGAGTGTTCTAAAGCACTATGGAGCAGTATCTAAGTCTAAGTGCTATTGGTAAAGCGTCCTCTCTATCCAGTCCTACTAATTTCAGCCCAATTACATACATTTCCATTAATTTTATTTTCTTGAAAATCTTACTTTTGCTCCAGTGTGCTAGTGCAATGATTTGTCACAAGGAAGTTCTTAAACTACAAGCCAAAGGAGCTAGTCATAACCTTGTTGAAGTTTGATTTAGGCATTCAATATTTTGCAGCATTTTATGTTTGTTTAGATATGTTCATCTATTTAAAACATTATGACTTTCTAAGGACAGTGTTTTCTGTATTCAAATGTATATCACATATAAATAAGCTTTCAAGATATATTGTATGTTGGAATTACTTTATGAAGAAGATTGAGGCAGAGAATTTTTTTATGTTCTTAGACGGATATGGAATGTGCCCTGTTGGAAGCAGAGCAGAAATCTGAAACAGCTGAACTGCTCAAGGAGAAGGAAATAGTAGATCATTTGAACAGGAAGATAGCAGAGTTGGAGAGAAATGTCATTGGTGAAAAGGCCAAGGTAAATAAGTGGATGATATCACATTTTTTCCATAGGGTTGGAATTTTAGAGAGAAGGGATTTTTTTTAAAAAAAAAGTCTCATGATATATTGTTTAAAATTAAAGAAATGTTGCAACTAATTAAAAGACAATTGCTAATTATCCAAGTTTGTGGAAAATAACATAGAAATAGAAATTTGATACTGACATTGAAATATTTACCATATCAGGTAATTAAGAAAAATAGTACGTTGAATTATAAAAATTCTACAATTTTATAATTATATAAGAACCAAAGAAAATCTATAATATACCTTAAATATATACATTTTATATATGTATCAATTGACACTCTGTCTCATAATGAAAAAATGTGAATTAAATAGTTTGCTTTGCATTCTATAGCCAATTATTTAGCACTTAATCTTACACTTTAGGAGACTTTGTCATAACCATTTAACATTTCAGACAGATGGGGATGATTAGATGGAATTCTTGCACTAAGCAATAGGATTGGACTCAATATCTAAATGGCTACCTCCTACTACTTGTTTCTATTTCTAAATGATGCACATTATTTACATGTGTGATATATTCATATAGCCATAATTTTGCAATAATGTAATGCTAGTTACAATATGTAAACAGGAAAAACTCCTACAATCTAAGTAATAAATGATCACCAACCATAGAACTGTTTACAATTAAATGTTTGTAAACTTGAAGAAGAAAGAGCAAAAAATGTCAAAGCACTGAATATATTTCATAGGCTCATCATATCGTATATGGCCTTTAATTGTACTACCTACAGTATCTTGGGAGGGAAAGAAATATAGGGTATTTATTAAATTTTAATGGATTATCTAAGGGTTAAAGAGATACGCAGTTAGAATGTTATTGCTATATAAAGCAGAGGTCTCCAACCTTTCCGGGCTCGAGAACTGGAGGGAAGGGGCCACATGTATGCATGGGGCCACGCACACTAGCGCTGCACTAGCAGCCCCATTTGCGCATGCGGCATGCGCTGGTGCCATGTGCATGCACAAACAGCCATGCACGCCATGGCGTCTAGCGGCCCATTCCCACATTGGCAAACTGGCCATGCAAACTGCCTGGGCTAGTGGCACATGTGCAAACAGGCTGCAAACACCCACCCCATGTTAGCATTCCTGTTCACGTCCGTGTGCATGCGCAAACGGTCGCAGGCGCTAGCGTGAGGGGGGAATACGCACCTACACATGCGTGCACCGGCCAGCCCTTTACTCAGCCCACTGGCCAAGAGCCCACGGCCCGGTCCCGGGCCACAGACCATAGGTTGGGGACCCCTGTTATAAAAAGTCTCTAAAGGGAAACCCAGAGAATATGAGGATCTGCCTTTCTCTTCCTGCTGTAGTTTTGACAGCTCGAAAGCATTTTCATTTCTAAGCAAGTTCCATGGCTTCTTTTGAAAAGCAAACAACAGCTTAGAAAAATAATTTTGGGAGATCAGATGTCAAGGGTGGATCAAGTAGTTATATACCAGTGGTGGCGAACCTATGGCACGGGTGCCAGAGGTGGCACGCAGAGCCCTCTCTGTGGGCACGTGCGCCGTCGCCCCAGTCCTAGGCCTTCAGCTTGGTTTTATAAAACCTTTTCGCTTTAGGCCTCCGCCGCCGTGTGCAAAAAAAAAAAAAAAAAAGATTCAATCAGTCAATTTCAACTTCTCACAGGAAAGAAAAAGATCTCGCAAAGTTGGACTTGATTGATTGAACTTTTTAGTCCCACCCAGTCTGCCGTTACCACCACAGCCATGCCCACCCAATGGGCCACACCCACCCAATGGGCCACGCCCACCCGGCACCCAACAATGCATAAGTGGGTTTTGGGTTGCAGTTTGGGCACTCGGTCTCTAAAAGGTTCGACATCACTGTTATATACTAAATGTACAATTTAATTGCCTTCATGCACAATAAAGCTTACTCTGGTCCTAATTCAGCTCTGGTGCATGCAAATCTAGTAGTTTCTTATTTGATATATCTTTTATTTCATATACACAGAACTACCTCAAATGCAGGATCTTCCCCATTCACTTTATGGAGAGAAACAATATTATTTTATAGCAGTAGTGTTGGTTTAGGTTCATAGATTGGATTACCTGCACCATTCTAGAAATCCATTAGAATGTCTATGCTATTCTGATTAGAGAGACAAAGTTACATTTGTAATTGTTGCTTATGTATATGTTTCAATCTGTTCTGAACGCTTTCAGCATGTTTTTAAAACATAAAAAAATAACCTTGCTTCAGTTAAGCATTCTTTGTTAATCTTCTGTTAAGTGAGGCATGTGCCACTCTACACATCACATATAACTGGTGGGAGGATATGAAGGCAGAGGATATGCTAGTTTGAATCTCCTCACTCCCCCAGCCCCTGTTACTTAATACAGCTCATGAACTGTATTCATTCATTAGTGATGAATGAATCTTGTTGGCTTCCATTTCAGTTCCAGGAACAATTTAAAGTTTTAATGTGACTAATAAAATATCATTTTGCCATATCCTATTACTTATTCTTCTCTTTAGAAGTTAGCCAGTTTCAATATTATGCTCAGTAATTAAATTGTAAAAGTATTTTTTCTATATAGTGTGTTGTAGAAAAAGATCTCTGAGAGAACTTTGGTAATTTATTTTATATTTTTTGTAATTTTTCAAGGAATTATTAATAATTCCAAAGAATAGTACAGTCTTCCAGCATACATTTGTTTCTTTTAGATTGGAAACATCCACTTACTTCCTTGGAATAAACGCAGTTGAATTCCCTGCGACTGTTTGTTAGTAAAACTATATAATTTATACTGAATATTATCCTGAAAGTAATATCATGTTCCTACCATTTCCATTTTATGGTTTTGCTTTTCATTTCTGTTTTTCTTTTTTATAGTAATGTTATTAATGATTATAGCTACAACAATAAAAATAAACAGAAACTAAAAAGATAGAAGAAAAAGAAAGAGCAGTAGATGCAGAAAGAAAAAAATAGAGAATTAGAGAAGAAAAATAAAAATAGAAAAATAAAAATATACAAAGAAATGACTTCCAATTTGCATCACAAATATAAATAATAGTAATTTATCACCTCCTTTTAAAATACAACAAACTGATCCTATTCCCTTATCCATAAACAAATCCATAAAGCATCATCATTTCATTTTGGATGTCAGTCAAAGTCCATTAAGGGTTACCAGAAATAACAAGTCATCTATTTTAACTTTGATCAAATAAACCAACTTTATATCTCTTTCTTTTATAACAGTCTTTTAACAATCATAATATTTAGGATTGTCAGCCATTTTTTCACAGAGCCTCTTCAATCTGCCATTTTTTTTCTCCAGAAGTAGTTCTTCCTTTCTTAGCAGTTGTGATGTTTATAACCAATTGGATGTTCATGAAGAGTGAAATATTAGATCTTATGAAACAGTTCCATTCATTAAAATGTAGCAGTTGTATTTGTATATTTGATAGCCTTATGTTCAGGAAAAGGGTTAAGAACCCCTATGAAGTCTTGATCTGGACACCTGCTTCATAGGAAATCTTGTTCAGATTTGTATGATGGTTGTAAAGCATGTGTTTCTAGGGCTTGTGAAATTCTGAAAAAGCAATGCTATGAATGAAAATGTAACCAGATTTCCATCTAATTGATCAGCAGCTGCACTGGCTTCCTCTTTCATATGACTATTATTAATGGCAGTTTCAAAGTGACTGCATTTATGAGCAACTTTATCTGCAAAATGTTAAAGCATTTATACTACACTGTCAAGGCAAGGAAACTTTTTACAGCTCTTAAACCCAATTAAAAATTTTGTTTTAACTGAAATAGTCAATGCTTTTGATGTTATGACTGTTTAGACCAGGGGTAGGCAACCTTTGACTCTTTTATGACTCATAGACTTCAATTCCCAGAATTCCTGAGCCAGCCAAGTCCACGAGTCATAAAAGAGCCAAGGTTGCCTACCCCTGGTTTAGACAATAGACCTAAGTATGGCTTGTCCTCTCTATCTTTATTCTGTTGCACAGTATCTCGGCACAACATTAATCCAGAAATAAAGTGTAATATCAAAAATCAGGAAATCAAGTTAATGTCAGGATGTTTTGTTTTGTGTTAATACTTTGGAATAATTTGGAGCACTGATTTATCACGAGCTTGAATATTCATTGAAAAGCCATTATGTGACCAAGATTATGACCAATAATTTTGCCCATTGCTTCTTAAGCTTTGTTTTACAAAGTCTTATATGATTGTCCAAATGAGGTTTATTTGGTATATAGTTCTGGTATTCTGATGTTTTATGGAAAGTATTGAATCATTTTCTAATGGGAATTTATAATTTTTGAGGGATTTGAAGTTCACCTGATTCAGTTTTTTTTCAGCTACACTGCTAGCTTAACACATTTCTTAATTTAAGCAAGTTTGAAGACTTTTGGGAGAGGGAGGACTAGATTTTTCAAAACTGTTTTGCAGTTCAGAATGTTAATACTTGGGAAACTGCAACATTAATTTTACAGTTTGGAATTTGTTTATTTCTTATGTGAAATACGTCCTTTTCCTTCCTAACAGAGTTTATAGCTAATTGTAGAAAAAGCTTTGATATAAGCTGAGACAAATAAAACAGGTGTTTCAAGTTTTCTCTTTCTCCAGAGAAAGAGTTTTTTTGCGTTGTTTATGTGAAGCAGACAGGATTTATAGGCTCTTGCCACAGCTGGGAATCCAAGAAGGATTTGGATTTTGTTGGTGATATTTGATACAGTCACAGCTGTCCAAGGGAAAAAGGACATATATTCAGGATAGATAGGAACTTCTTCCTTCTTCCTGCCTTAGGAGCTCAACAGGTTTCATTTCTCTTTCGCTGTTTATCTCCTGGTCAGGATGCTCAAATCTTCCTAACAGCAAAGTTCCAGTGGAAAGGCAAACAGATAGCTACATTCAATCATGCATGTTCATCTGGGTGGAAAAAGGCCTACTGTGAAGAGGGGAAGGAAATGGAGAATGATAGCAGCACTAAGAAGCAGGAGTTTATTCTGGGCCAGTTCCCAGTTGAATGCTTGGCTAAGCTTGTGGCTTCCTTTGAAGTATCAAAGGGTATGTAGAGAGATAGATAGGCTGTTCCATTAGACCCTCTAGATTATGCATGTGGACACCTCTAGGACTTCCTAACCCAGTTCCCTTCTAGCATCACAAACTACTATTTGATTTCTGATATATTTTTTTTAGTTACAGATTTTTGTGTTGCTTGTTTATAGCTGCATGCATTATCTCAGTCAGTGTATTCTATAAATGAAATATAGTTTAGGGTTTGTATGTAATAATGTTTTTAAAACATTATTTTAAAAACAAAGTACAAAGTGCATGAAACCATTGACATGAATAAAATGTTATATAAATATTTCCTTTTGTGAAAAATATATTGCAAATATAATCAAAACAACTGCATATGTATGGAAGGGGTATACTGTACATGACTATGTTGATTCTTTTCTGATCAGAGTTATATACTGTCTAGACTAGAGGTTGTGACTAATTTTTAGAGTTAAGAGACATAGCCAGCTGCCTATTCTGTTTCTCCCTTTCATTCTGTTTTATGGGCATTCCATTTAAAATGGAAAGATGAAAAATGTATTTAATAAGCAAATTGTATAGGCACAGCATACATACATGTGTATTACAAAGTTTGTATAAAATATCAACTCTATTTTTTAAAAAAAATACTTTGAAAAATCTTTTAAAGGTATTGCTGTTTTAAACTCAAGTATCCATATGAGGATTTTTAATGGGTTTTTTGTAAACAATAAAGGGTTATATTTGTTTCTAGATACAATTCTGGCCAGTGTACACTTTTATATTAATACTTATTAAGTAATCCTTTAATTCCGGAAGGGTTTGCTGGAAACTGTACAACTTATGGCATTTAGTCTCATTTTACAAAACAAATGTGTCTTGTGCTCTGTAACATTTTATTCAGAAAAAAATGTATCTGTCTATAGCACATAACACAATAAGTGTCTTATAGAGTAGTAGAATAAATCTTCAATGTTCATGTTTATTTGATGGTCACTGTTCAAGAAGGTTCCCCATTTTTTTTAAAAAAAACGCTATTCTTTATAAATGTGTTCTATTGCATAAAAGACATTAATTCTGATCTAACAAAATGTATGTCTCCAGTCTTAAGAAAAAAATAGGAAATGGTGCTTCCACTTGGCATTATATTTCCTTGTCTATCCATTACATGCAGCTGTTAACCTTCCAAATTAATGACTTCCCTTGTAAGATGAGCTCAATGACATCCTTGTATTTAGTATCATTCAACAACAGAAGATGCTAACTTTTCTCTTTAGCTTCCTTGTTACCCTGGCAAATGAAAGTCTTTGAATGAGAAGCTCTAAGAATTCATAAAAGTACCAAGAGTAGTTTATAGGATTTTTTTTTTTTAAGACTCAGTAACATTCTGGGAGATTAAGATATTTTCAGTTTTCATTGCCAGTGGAACAAATACAAATACTTATTTTTCCTGAAACAAAAATAGACTATACAAGTTTTAAAGTTATACCCATAGAAAACTAGCTTTGCGATGGATTTTTAAAAAGGGTATCCAGGAAGATCTAATAAGCCAGCAAGCTTAATGTCTGTTATGTGCAAACTGATAGAAACAGCAATCAAAGAAAATTTAACTAAGCATGTAGAAACACACCTTAAAATCAGCATGGACCCTGTCCAATCAACCTGCTAAAGGGAGCTTTGGTATGATTCAGTAGGGTTATTGATACACTCTTTTGTTAATCAGTACTGCTACAATATAAACTGAAACTTAACAGTAGGGCATGCCCATGGAGTCCTAAGAACCTTTAAATTAAATATTGAATCAATGTGCTTTACATTATAGAAAATTTGCTTATAAATCAGAGAAAGAGACAGAATGGCTTTTTTCTGCTGGATTGGAATGTTCCAGAGTATTTTTCTTTATATTTTTCTTTACCATCAAACTAAACAGTTCTCATAGATAGGCCAGCTGTGGAAGTGAGTAAAACCCTGGTAGACTGCTGTGAAATATTGGCTTACCTCTTCTGAGGAGAATATGAAGATGTGCTTGTGATGCCCCTATACTTTTTTTCTTGGAACATATGAAAGTAAAGAAAGGGCTAAAGGAAGATTTAGCTGTGAATGAGCTACATTCTGTGACTCCTAATCAAGTTTAGGGTCAAAAGGAGAAAACTAGAAAAAAAAAAGATAAAGCAGCCCAGTGAAAAGTTAAGAAAGAGACTTCTTAGAACCCTAGCAGATTGAAATAATAATATTTTATTCTTCCAATTAGACTTGTACCATCAGCAAACCTATTACAAAAGTCATAGGAATATTCAGAAAAAAGAGAAACTTTTAGTAATGATTGGTCATTTTGTGCAATCATTCTATTCATTTTAATAAACATACTTGCCTGTGGAAATTAAGCCTACAAGGGTCTACTGACAATGGAATAATACAAAATGTCTGACTTATATGAGTATCTAATTGATGAAATATTATTGAAGCTTTTATGTATTTGTAGTCATTTTTTTTCAAAACCAAACCAAACATGTTTATGAAAAAAAATTGTAAAAAAAAAAGTATAACCTTAAAATTTAGTCTGTTTTGAATTTCGGGTAAAAGAAATCTACCGGTACATAACTATGGAAAAATGTATTGCCATATTTGAGACAGGAGCTAATTGGCTTAGAATTTGTGTTATCTGATCAGGATAGGCTTCCTTCAGCTGAACTATTTTTTTCCCCCAGCATGTTTGATCACTGAAACAGAATTTCCTGCCCCAGACCACTTATTGCTGAATGATCTGTCTTTCTCTGCTTATACACTGCCTTAAGGACCACTTATGTCTTTGTCTGTTATCTTTGTGTCATTGCAAATAATATCTGTTTTCTTCACACTGGAAAGCATGATTGTCCAACCTTTTGGCTTGCCTGGGCCACATTGGGCTGCATATAAAATATATAGTTAATATATATAAATAACAAACTTCCTTAGATTTTTAAAATATTTTTATTATCTTGTCAGCCTGCATTACTAGCTATCCAAGGCCACATGCAGCCAATGGGCTGCAGGTTGGACACGCCTGCTGTAAAGCTTTTACCTTGTTTTCCTTCTGTCATTAGGAAATTAACATGTTACGATTTCTGTTTCATCATAGCTAATATGTCATTGAACTTGAAAGCATTAAAGGTAACACTACATCTGGAACAAAACCCCAAATAGACCTGGCTTCGGGAGTATAATTACAAATCTAACTGACTTTGTTTCTGCTAATTGAGAATATATACAAAGAATGGAAATTAATTAATAAAGTTTATGTTGGGAACATATATGTTCTCAATTCTGAGAATGGCATTGTTACAGATACAAGTCATTGTACAGTAATGTTGTATCTTCATTAATGTAAAGATAAGTTTGAAGAATATGGAACTAGTAAAATTCCCATCATAAGGTTTATCGCTTATGTTGGGATTATGACTTCCACAATTTCTGTTCACTGTGCTGAAAGTTGTGACCCCCAACACATCTACAGGGAGCTAGGTTGCTAAAGATAGCCTTACATCATATAACATATAGTATGTTTTATGGCAACTTTACTTATGTAACATTATAGCATAGAATTACCATATGTTCCAAACTATAAGACAGTATCTCTTTGATTACCGTAAAGGTCCATATCTTCTGAATATACTTAAGATTTTTTTTTATTATGAGATGAATCTAATTTTTTCATATATGATGTTAAATAGCAGAATATTTACTGACAGGTATCTATAACAGGTTGACTAGACCATCTTTTGGATATTCCCAGGTTATTAAAATTATATTCAGAATATTGCACTAATATACAAATTAGCTACAGCCTACCAGCATGCAAAGCATTCTTTTGAAGCATTTAGGTCATTCCTTCAGTTTCACCTCTTTGCCCTTTGCCCTTCAGAATCACTAACTACTGCTTGGGTTTGAAGGTAATTCTGTTGTTTATTTTTCTGGCTCAAACTCCAGGAAAAAATAAAGCTTGATGCTGAGAGGGAAAAACTAGAAAAGCTTCAGGAGCTTTACTCCGAGCAGAAGACTCAGCTTGATAATTGCCCCGAGTCCATGAGGGAACAATTACAGCAGCAGCTTAACAGGGTCAGTAGCATGGATGTGGTGTTGTTTTAGTGATTATAATCAGATCAAGTCCAGAGACGTCTAACCAACTCTTTTTCATGGCTTCAGTGCTGTTTTTCTATATTGCTGTTAAGAATGTAAGTGCATGGTGACAACTAAACAGAATGTCAAAAGCTGGATTAACAATGGATGTGCACTACAAGCTTCAAACATTAGTCATCTAAGGCTTAGCGCTGTGTGGCATTGAACACTGAAGATCTGTATGACTGAGTATGAGTGGAATTTTGATATTTAATCAGATTAGAAATCTATAAGATCTATCTGTCTGTAGATGAGGAAAGAATTCTCAATTAGGCATGAATGACTACTTATTTAATTCTTATTGCAGCATTAGAAATCTTAACTATGCATATTCATTTTGAAAATTAAGACATGTATAAACTAGGTCCTTCCCCCAAATGATTCTTTTCTATTAGATTGTATTTTAATCATTCCATATAATTTTATGACTACCTTGGTTTAATTTTACAAACGTTGTGAATTTAAATTGATAACACAATAAAAAAGAAGCATTAGGCAATAGTGGGAGATTTGGGAATATGGAAAGGTCATTCACATTAGAACCATCAAACATTTCCAGATCAGATTATTCTGAGAGCAAAATCGATTTTTTTTCCTTCCCTTAAAAATGAAATTTGGTTAAAAAAAACAATCTGAGCCATGAACCTGAAATCAAATAGCTTAGAACTGTTTATTCATGATTCAAGCTACAATCATGCCCATTCTAAACTGCAACAATTCTTCACATTGGCATCCCCCTTAGTTTAATTTTAAGGTTTGGCTTTTTTTTGAAGTGCATATTTAGCACTCTAAACACCTCTGTTCATGATGACTAGGCTAAAATAAAATAATGGATCTGTTATTGATTATTTTGAGGGTGTATATGATAATTTTAATTTCAGGTCTACAGGTATTTTAAAAAACATGCTTAAATAGACTTAGTCATGCTTAAATAGACTTAGACCAGAATTAAAAATTAAATCTCTAGGATTATGCTTGGATTTGGATTATGCTTTATGTCACTTTCACAAACAATAGTATCCCTTTAAAATTGATACATTTATTTTTTCTTATTGAAGGATGCAGACTTGTTGGAGGTAGAAAGCAAACATTTTGAAGATTTGGAATTTCAGCAGCTTGAAAATGAAAGCAGATTAGATGAAGAAAAGGAGAATTTAACCCAACAGCTTCTGCGTGACGTTGCTGAATATCAACGTAACATTGTCAGTAGAAAGGTAATTTAAAAAAAAAAAAAAAAAAGAACAGATCATTATCTTTGAATAGTTTAGTTGTGCCAACTGATTGCAGTTGTTAATCTAAACAACAATTAGCCATTTACTAACAATTCAGTTAATTGTTAAGTTTTAGATTTGCTCACTAAGGTTTAATAATTATTTAAGATAGGATAAATAATCTAAAGTAATATATTTCCATTTCTTGGTTTCTTAACAAAAAGGTTTGGGGGTTTTTTACTTTTAAGAGAGATGGTACCTTTCCCAGAAACGTATTTGTGTTTGTACACGTGTTCCATAACTTTTCATGTAGTTATATCCTCCCATGATTCTTCTCTTTTTACTTAGTCTTCTATTTTGGAGTAGCAGTAGAAGTAGTATTGATAGTGCCAGCTATTAGTGCTGCTAGAATATGCAAGCATGTGAAGTCCAATCACAGGACTTCAACTAATATAAAAAAATAAATAAATTACAGCAAAATGTTGCTGGTGTACAACTTTTAAGTCTTCTCTGTAAATTTGTGTAAAGTTGACTTTTAGATGGGTAGGAATTGTATGAACAATATTCTGAAGCTGATATTAAGTATGTATTAACATTTATCTTATGATAGGAAAAGGTTTCTGCTCTCAAAAAACAAGCAAATCACATTGTACAACAAGCACAAAGAGAACAAGATCATTTTGTGAAAGAAAAAAACAATTTACTAATGATGTTGCAGAGGGTAAGCAATTCCTCCTTGTTCTTCCAAGAACGTAATTAAATTTTAAATGATAAATACCAATTATATTATGTTGCACAACTTCCTCTGAAACAAATTAATGTAAGCACATTTTAGTATGATACCATGTATCATAGAGAGGTCTGTAATATATAAAGTTCAATGAAGAAGTGAATAATGTATATAGTGAAGCCAACTGTACCTGTGTTTTCCATAATAGTGGAATGTATATGAATCTTTTACATTACCATGCAGTGGATTTGATACCAGCAGATTTATCAGGAAAAGTACAAGTGGGTTTGTGTATATCTAGGGTTTGTAGAGGATAATATTGGTATTAAAACCAATCCAGCCAATAAATTTGGAAGAATATCTGTATTGTCTATACCAGTGGTGGCGAACCTATGGCACGGGTGCCAGAGGTGGCACTCAGAGCCCTCTCTGTGGGCACGCACGCCATCGCCCCAGTCCTAGGCCTTCAGCTAGGTTTTATAAAATCTTTCTGCTTTAGGCCTCCGCTGCCGTGTGCAAAAAAAAAAAAAAAAAGGTTCAATCAGTCAATTTCAACTTCTCACGGGGAAAAAAAGATGGAATTGATTGATTGAACTTTTTAGTCCCACCCAGTCTGCCGTTACCACCGCAGCCACACCCACGTAATGGCCCACATCCACCCAATTGGCCACACCCACCCGGCACCCGATGATGCATAAGTGGGTTTTGGGTTGCAGTTTGGGCATTCGGTCTCTAAAAGGTTCGCCATCACTGGTCTATACTGTGAAGATGGAAACAAAAATTTTGAAAATGCATTTGGAACAATTTTCAGTTGAAACGTCTTAAATGTTTTTGCAAAGAAATACAACTTAAATATTTGTATAACATCTGTCTCAAATATAACTCACTTTCTACAGGAGAAAGAAAATCTTTGCAATCTAGAAAAGAAGTATTCCTCACTATCGGGAGGTAAAGGATTTCCTCTGAGTCCCAGCAGTCTAAAAGAGGTAATGTGAGATTTGGGAGAAAGGGTTTGAAGCAATATGGTAACTGCCTCATTTTTCATATTATTGCAACCATTTTATAAAGTTCATTGAAAAATGACACGCACTTTCCTACTTCTATAGAAGAGCTGATTAATTTTAATTGCTAATATTTTTAAAGGTGGTCAGTTATTCTAAGGAGGATTTTCTAATAAAATGTGACATAGACGTATGCACTAAAAAGGAAATGTGTATTATTTTGAACCACAAACAAACCTTTACATTCCAGACATTCTGCCTAAGCTTTTGGATCAAGGATGGTTGGGCAAGTTCTAGGATTTGAATGAAACAAAATCCAGAGGAATCACAGACTATTTTAACAGGGCATGTAGTATAAGACTGTAAGTGTGGTGCTGAAATAATTGGCCTTCCAAATAGTCTTCAGTTTCCTTAGATTTCATGTCCATTTTTTTCATCTTACTCCATTTGCATGCATATTTCAGTGATCATTCATTTTTTGATTATGCAGACATTCAGTGTTAGTAGAGTTGTACTAGAATATGACATATTAGAAAGGAAGAACGGAAAATCAGACTCTTGGAGTGCATCCTTTCAGTTCTTGCTTGTGCCTAAAACTTTTCTGCTACTGTTGCTGCTACTCTAACCACTTACTTATTTTTTACTGAGAATCGCAGCTGTTTTAATCATTGTAGGTCAAAATAAAGACTTCATTAGAGTATTCTGCAAAACATTTGATTGCAAACATATCCCTAAATTATTAATGGTTCATGAATTTATTTTGATGGAATGGAAAAAGTGAGATTCTGTCATATTTTTGTTTCATCTAATTACAATATGGTAGTTTATTGATTAGGGAGCTTCATATTTTAAAAGACTTTAAGTGTTTTCTTGCTTTAAAAAAAACAGCTTAATTCCCGTTCTTTATTGGGATCATGCTTGACAATTCAAATAGTCAAATTTTCTGAGTGCTACATATTTAAAAGTTTTTCTAGAATATGGTAGTGTTTTAAGCAGTTACTATATTAAAGTGAGATAGTGAAAATGGTAGTAAATTTAAAGCATGGAAGGCTCAGCATAGATGATTGAAAAAAATATGTCACAAAATGGTTTGGTAATATCACAGCATTGGCTGTATCACTCTAAACTAACCTTCACAGAGAATTTCAAAATTTAATATTCTTGCATGCCTTTTGCTTCTTTTGTATGTTTAACCTCTGAATTCCTCCTTTTAGGATTTTGTGAATGTAAATGACATTAGTGACCCGCATGGCAATTCCACGAATATCTCCCCTTCCACTCAGCCCCCCTCTGCTGCTGCTGCTGCTCCTCCCATTGAACTTTCCACAGCTGGCCTGATAAGCCAGTCACAAAATAAAGAGGTTTGTTGGAGAGACATTTCCCATGTGTAAACATTATGCTTTCAAATTTTATCCCCTTGGTGTTCACAAGTTGTAGTAAGCCTTTTTATTAATTAAAAAGCTGAATAGAGAGTTGAGTTAATTTTTCCCCTATGGGTCTTTTTCAGGAACAGATGTTGTATGTATGTCTTGGGTATATCTTCTGTCTTCCTTCTTATGTTCTTTTCCAGAGTGTTGATAAAGTAACTGGGACCTTATTATATTCTCATTGAATACCTTATGTCAGTGGTGGCGAACCTATGGCACGGGTGCCAGAGGCGGCACTCAGAGCCCTCTCTGTGGGCACGCGCACCGTCGCCCCAGTCCTAGGCCTTCAGCTAGGTTTTATAAAACCTTTCTGCTTTAGGCCTCCGCTGCCGTATGCAAAAAAAAAAAAGTTCAATCAGTCAATTTCAACTTCTCACGGGGAAAAAAAGATCTTGCAAAGTTGGAATTGATTGATTGAACTTTTTAGTCCCACCCAGTTGCCGTTACCACCGCAGCCACGCCCACCCAATGGGCCACGCCCACCCAATTGGCCACATCCACCCGGCACCTGACAATGCATAAGTGGGTTTTGGGTTGCAGTTTGGGCATTCGGTCTCTAAAAGGTTCGCCATCACTGCCTTATGTTTACACCATTCCCATTTTGATTTCCAGGAAAAACAGCAAAGCAAGCTCTATTTTTCCCTAGTAGGATATCACAAACCTAATATCAAAATATTAGGTACGGTGGGAGAAAAATACCATTTGTTTATTTGTTCTTCTCTGTAAACTGCTAATAACACTTCATGCATCTGATAAAGTGAGCTCTGGCTTAAAAAGCTTTTCCCATAATAAACTTCTTTGTAGTATTTGCATCTTGTATGTATTTTTAAAACTTTCATACCATTTCTTTTTGTCTATGAAGCTAAGATCACCTTTCTGTTATGGATCTGTGATTCCTCACTCTCTCTCTCCTCGCCCTCTTGCACAACTCTCACCAGCCGACTGGCCTGAGGTCAGGGCTGCCAATGTAGAGTCTTTTCCTTTACCTGATACACCACCACCTCTACCAGCTAAGAAACACCGAAGGGAACCCCAGGTAACATGCCAGAAGGCAGGCTGACTTGGTAATGATATAATTATCGTTGCATGCCCAAGTTTGAAAAAGTGCATGGAAAGTAGCCATTGGTCAGCTTTTCAGAACCCTAAAGGTCTGAATCTATGGTCCAATGCCCTTTCCCTTAAAACTGACTGGTGTAATTCTAGCATTTATAAAGGATTTTGCACACAGAGTTCTATGTATATTAGTTGGGAAAATTTGCATATGCATCTTGTTAAGGACCACCCACTTAAAAACATCTTACGGATGCAGAATTTATTCATTTAGACCAGTGTCTTTACTCTTTAACAGTTTTATGTCACACTGACATATTCAGTGCTGATTGCTAATATTACAGTCCTTTTTCTGTAAAACTAGGAGTTAAAGAGATTATTTGAACATAACTGTTAAAATTTATCTTCATTAACATTTTGAATGACTATTGTCTCATTCTGATATCAACACAGTAAATAATTATATCTATGGTGTGAAACATTATGAATGCTTCAAAAGTAACTTGGAAGGCACATTTGAAGTTTACAAACAAAGTACTCTAGAATCTGTTGCAAATCTGAGATTATATTTCAGTGTAGAATACACTCATGGGATTTGTAGCCCCAAGTTGTCTTTGAGTAGATCCTAACTTCCATGAACATTGCATTTTATTTCATAGTAAACTTTGCTGATCTCCCTATGGGTTACCATGGAAGAATAAATTTTAGACTACATTCTTTAGCTTCTTCTGGATAGAACAGAACTTATTCTTTATAGTATAGGAAGGCAACTTAAGCAAATCCACAATAACTAATTAGTTTTACCTTTATATGAGAGGAATCAGGTATCACAAATTGGTACATTGATTGGGTAAGCTGTAAAATAGGTTAACAGGCCTGAGATTTATCGAGTAAGAGATGATCATTTAGCATGCAGTTGGCAATAGTTAACATTAAACTGACTTTAAGAAACATTACCCCTGTGAAATCTTCCTTTCTTATTAGTAAATGACCACTTCTATTATACTTTGCATTTAAAACACACTAGAGCAAATAGAATCACAAATAAAAGACCAGTGTAAACTTTTTGTCTTTTTATTCAAATGTTGTGTATCAAAATGTATTATATGTCCCACTGTTTTTGTTCAAAAATATTTTTGGTATTTAAAATCACAGTGAAATATACTATTCTCTTCGCTTATATTCAGCTACTATTAAATGGAATAGAGGATTTATGACAAGTATAATCACAAAACACAAAAGATGTATCATATTTATCCCATTAATATAAGAATGTATTACTGCAGTATATTTACATTAAAATTACTTTTCTTGTAGAAATCATTCATGTAACAGTAAATAATTTAAAAAGCTACCTTATCGGTATTCTAATTTTTGTGAATCTGGAGATGTTCTATTTTTACTTGAGTTCTGCCTTTGGCAATTTTCAGTTCAGTTTTAAAATTAAATTATGACTTTTCAGAAACATTAACAACATTTGTAGCATGTCATCACACTAGAATTTTACACACTATTATTTATTTTAAGCATTTCCGAAATTTGGAAGAGAGAAAGAAGCAGCACAAAGAAGGCCTGTACATGAGTGATACTTTGCCCCGCAAGAAAACAGCTCCTCCCATATCACCTCATTTCAGTAGTTCTACTCTTGGACGAAGTGTTAAGGTAGGCAATTGCTCAAAGAATTTCTTTGGATTTTGAGTTAACGAAGTTCCATTGGTTTCAGTAGAATCTTAGTCAGCTTGAATGATGGCCTTCTCTTCACACATGCATACGCTTTTCCAATAATTTCATTTCACACTGCTGATTTACAGTGTAAATCCTTGTAAATTTAGTCAAAGTAATTCTCTCTCTACTTTGGTAACACTGATCTACAAGGAGAAAGCCTAAAGTTAATTTGAAGAATTTATATATATAAAGTAGTAGCTCTAAATGGCTTTTTTTTTTTTTTGACAGGGTCACCCGCCACTTGGACAAAGCAGTAGCTGTGGCAACATAATTCCTCATTGTTCAGGATCTATGACCAAGGATTTGGAGTCAAGGAGAACACGTAAAGGTAAAAATATTTAGAATTATTTCATATATTTATATGCAATAATATCTTAATATAAATCCTATTCACATTAACATTCACATTAAGTACATATTTCCTTTAACTGAATAAACACACAATAAATTAATTCAGCTTCATTCAGCTTTAAAACCGTTAAAGCTGAATGAAGCTGAATTAATAATTGTAATAATTGTAGTTTGAAAATCAAGGGCACATTCCCACCTTTACATCTTATTTCTGCATATAATACATATGTATTCTATACCTTTATAGAATAAAATACACTGGGAATATCTTTATAGATGCTTACATTCAGTTTTCTTGCACCTGGAACTTTTAGATACTGGGTGAAAAGCTGGAAGGTTTCCTTCCCAAGATATGCCTAATTTTATTTGGCCTGTTGAGTAAGCATTTGGGATCTAGCCAAATCTGTGACTACCCTGTTGGACTAGAAGTCATATATAGTAAGGGATATACACTGTCATTTTAAACTATTTCAAATGTTTAAGACAAAAGTAGAAAAAGCTGTAATTAATTTAAAGAATTACAGTATAACTTATGCTTATTAATGTTCATAACAGCAACAGAAAATATGTAGACAAACAAAACTTTACTCTCATCTGCCTTCTCTGATTATACAATTAGACAGTTCAGTCCTAACATTACTTAATTAAAAGTAATATCCACTAAATTTAAAAGGATTTGTGCACTTACGGTACCTATTTAAAATACAAATAGTCCTCGACTTACAATAGTTTACAATAAACTACAATAGTTTATTTAGTGACTGTTCATAGTTACAACAGTACTGAGAAAAGTGATTTATGACTGTTTGTCACACTTACAATGGTTGCAGATCCCCATGGTGACACGATCAAAATTCAGCCCCTTGGCAACTGGTTCATATTTATGACGATTGCAGTGCTCCAGGTTCATGTGATCACCTTTTGTGACTTTTTGACAAGCAAAGTCAATGGGAAAGCCAGATTTACAGTAACAGCCCTGTTACTAACTCAACAACTGCAGTGATTAACTCAACAACTGTGGCAAGAAAGGTCATAAAGTGGGACAAAACTCACTTAACAACTGTCTCACTTAGCCCATAAATTTTGGGCCCAGTTGTGGTCGTAAATCAAGGCCTACTTTAGTTGAATTTTTCTAATTTAATTTATTATGTGTACTCCCTATAGAGGCGACTTTAACTCTTAGAAAACCTATATTCAGTATCTAAAATATGTTTAATGAAATCACATGTTTTGATAAAGACTGTAATCCAAAATATGTTGAAGAAAAAATCTGTGATAAGAGAAATTGTCAACCTTTTTCCCCAAGTTCCATTTCTACAATTAACATTTCTTTCTATATTTGTTTAATTTGTGCATCTCAGTAAGAATATTTGGTTTTAAAGAATTATTTAATATTTTAAAATAATTATTTTTTTCCTTTCCACTGTTTGTGTCATTAAAATCAGGTAAAAGCAAAAAAGGTATGAAAAACATTTTCTGTGGTGTTATATGCTTGATTTACATTACTAATGGCAGAGGGGACACTGTCAAGTTGTTCAGAATCAATATGTGTGGAAATTTTGAATGTCCTATTCCACTCAAAAACTTAAGAAAGGTATTAGGATTTAAACAATCTCATGTTTAAATCATACATACTGTCATATATATTAAGAATGTCATAAGATGGAAAACAAGACTATGCCCACAGGCTTTTCCCTCAAATCTGTGGAGACAGAGAGGGTTACTGCAGTGGAGGAACCTGTGGAGATTGATGCCATCAGAATTCCAATGACAGCATTTATTCAGTAGATTCATATTCCTGATATGTTTGAAGATAATGAATCCAGTATTGAAGCTAGATCAGTTGAAACCCCCTGCTCTTTTCTGCCTGTATTTATTAATCATTTGGGTATAATGTAAAGACAGCGTACAAGCAAACTCTTCAGGTTTATGTTAATTAATCTAGTTTGGATTTGCAGATAGAACAAGCCAGGTTCACAGAATGCAGCTAGGTCTTGAAAAATAGGTTGACAAATCTAAACAATTGTGGCTTAGTCTGACAGCACAAAAATATTGACATCTATATAATAACCAATATTTTTTTCATGAAAATGCCGACGCTGATTAATAAACTCAATATTTGCTTAATTTTGAACACAAGATATAAATATATAATATGCACACAATTGGAAATATAGCCTGGCATAGAATAAAAGTAGCATAGATTTGTAGTGAGCTGTCTGTCTGTCTGTCTGTCTGTCTGTCTCTCTCTCTCTCTCTCTCTCTCTCTCTCTCTCTCTCTCTCTCTCTATCTATCTATCTATCTATCTATCTATCTATCTATCTTATCTGTCTGATTTAGAAATTTGGTTCTCTTCCAACATTAATTTGCAGAAGACAAATTCATGTTTGGCTATCTAAACAAAAAGAAAGTTCTCCTATGAGACCTGTTATAGCCTTGTGGAAGGAAAAATGAATTTTCTTATTACCACTATAGCGCACAAAGATACTGTAGGCTTTCTCCTCATTTCATTGACTCATCTTTTTCCCATGTTTTCCTAAAAATATAAATGATAACATGAAAGGCAACCATACATGTAGAAGAACCAGCTGCAATGGCAACTACTGATTCTCTGGATTGGCAAAACTATTTTAAATTATTTCTATTAGCATATAAAAAGCATCTCTAATCCACCATAAACAAAAATGGACTCTTGACTATGTTCTTTGGTTTGGTTTGCACTTTTTTGTATGATTTCAACTCTGTTCTGCTCTGTTATTAATAACAATAATATAACAGGTTTCTATTTTAATTTCAATATTTCTGACAACTATTTTTTCTGCTTATTATTATACTACTGTCAATTAACTCAACTTAGTTTTTTTTTATTTTTGCAAAACAATTTTGCCTTGAATTAATATTGAATTGAGACATTATTTTGAGTTTTTCATTGTCGTGCTAATGTTAAAATCTTTTCTTTTAGCAAATCCATTCATATTTTAGCAGGACATAATATATGAATATTTATCTTAGCTAGGATTGCAGATTAAATAAAAATTAAAAGGGTGAACTTCATTCCGTTTGTCAAACTCTAAAATAATTTTGCTTACCCAAATATCTTCTGCCAGCAAATTTAGTAGTTTTCTGAATCAGTATTAGACATGTCACTACTTCCTAAAATATACAATTTAAAGAATTGTTGTCCAAGTATACAATGGATATTATTTTCCTACTATGTTTTTTAAAACATCACTTAAATTCAAGGGACACAAGCCTATTCAACATTATCAAAGTTATTTAAATGAAAACTCCCTTATCAGAAGCAAAATACTTTTGAAAATTGGATGTTACAGATGTCCAGTAGAATAGTGATTCACATTGCAACCTTACAGATATATAAAAAATAATAATACTAGATCCTCTCTTTAAATGACCTGTTAGCTTCCCCCCCCTGCAGTTCTACAGTTTTAGAGTAATAAAAGTTATAAAACTGTACAGAATTTTTTTCTCTCTGCTTCTTTGTTTCAAGTATTATTTCAAAGTTGTCCGCCACCACATGCTATGTAACATAAAATAAATGTGTGAGTGTTTGTGTGGATAGATAGATAGATAGATAGATAGATAGATAGATAGATAGATAGATAGATAGATAGATAGATAGATAGATAGATAGATAGATAGATAGATAGATAGATAGATAGATAGATAGATAGATAGATAGATAGATAGATAGATAGATAGATAGATAGATAGATATACTGTAGATATAGATCAGTTTATTTTAATTTTACATAGCATGAAATAATATCCTGGGCTGAATCAAGGAAGCAGAGAGAAGAAAGATTTCATTATATGCATACACACATTGAGAATAGAGTTCTGGGTTTTTCTTATGAGAATCCTTATTAGCCAAATTTCCAGTATCTAAAATAGAATGTGTATCTGGTTTTTAATGACCATTGTTTCAAATCTAGTCATAAAATTCAATAAAAATGGCTCTTAAAACAGATTGAGTTTAATGTATTTGTGTTCACTATCAATGCTGTATTAATCCATCTTATTTTATTTAGTCCTATTATAAAATATAAATCAACATTTTCCTTCTTTTTCTAGGTTATAACCATCAGCATCTCCGTGAAGATCAAAGCCAGAAGTCTCCTGAATTCTACAGCAGAACTGCCTCAGAATCAAATGTGTATCTGAATACCTTTCATTATCCTAATTCTAACCTGAAAGACCACACCTTTGACACCCTTAGTTTAGATAGCTCGGACAGCATGGAGACAAGTATATCTGCCTGTTCCCCAGATAATATTTCCAGGTACATTGTGGCAATGTTTAATTTTTCCAGAAAATACACAATAATTAAACAAGCAAGTATATTTGATTATTAAATATGAATTTATTAAAATGTAGTTTTGTGGATCTTAGCAAAAACATTTTAGTTTTAGAAATACCCAGTCAATACGGAGAATTAGTTAATGTAATTGAAAAGATAGGAAATTAGGAATGTTACCTCTCTTTTGCCTATTTAATGACCAATTAATTCTGGTATTTCATCAATTGTTAGCTAGCAGCCATTTCATCAAGATGGAAATGTTTCCATCTTGACTTATTGTTGCAATATAAATCGCTTTAAGTACTAGTATTTTTCCCTTCCTTCCATCTCTTATTCTGTGTTGCGTTTTCCTGTGTATGATTTCAATGGTAGGAAGTCTTTTTAGCTGAAGAGTAATAAATAATAATACATAACTAATAATTTAACTTAAAATTTAGCACAAACTGTATTCTTAATGATGATTTTGCTGGAAACTGCATTTTATCTATAGTATTGATTTCCTTGAAAGCTTCTGAGATCATGTTGTCTCATAAGTAGAATCCTGGTGTATGTGAACACCCATGTTGACTCTCAGATTAATCTGACAAAAATTGTTCTGCATTTTTGCACTTTTTAAAGGTATTTTTGTTGATTTGTTCTTTGCTTTTTTTGTACATGTGTGGAGAAAAACGGTTGGCTAAGCAATCCCTTTTGATCAGTAATTCCACTGTGAAGGAAATGGATAGAAAACAATAAAAAGCCTAGAAATATATTTTTAATGAATTGAAATGTTTTATCAAAAATTTCAGTTGTTATTGCTGGTTTTTATTACAGTGCCAGCACTGCAAATGTGGCAAGAATAGAAGAGATGGAAAGACTTTTAAAACAAGCTCATGCTGAGAAGACACGATTGCTTGAATCCAGGGTAATGATGTACATAGAAAGGTCAAAGATACTCCATGTTTGAAGTTGTGTGTTCACTAGATTTTGAAATTAGTATATTTTCATTTGCATTGTAATTAATTGCAATATGATCAGCCAACACAGATTTAAAAGTATAGTTACTGAGGTTTATTTATTACAGATTAATAAGAAATATGCAATATGGTCCAGATTTGGTCTGGTAAAATATGCAAATTAAGCTTTTGCTTGAGATAATCACATGAATGATAAAGCATGTGGCCTAAGAGAGATATATATAACCACATTGTGCATTGTAGAAAATGTATCAATCTCCTATTTGGTAGAGTGGTTGGATTACTGGATTGGAATCAGAGAGATTCAAGTCATTATGACTTTCGGTCAGTGCAACCTACTGTATAAAGTTGTTTTGAGAATAAAAAGGAGAGACAATACTTTTTACCTTGTCTTGAACTCTTTAGAACAGGGGTTTTGAAGCTTTTTGAATCTGTGTTAATTACAAAAAAGAGGTAAAGAAAAATCCTGGAATCCCTGGAAAATTCTAGTGACAGAAAATTGCTTGCATTCAAATGAAATTTAACAAAATGTTTTTGCCATTAATCTTTCCTATAAACCCATCAATATAATTTGAAAACTTCTGTCTTACAAAAAGTAAATGTAACATAAATATAACAATTAAACAAATAAATGTTGAGTCTACTTTTCTGAACCAACACAACTGCCCCTACCTAGCAACTTGCATACATTTTAGAGAAGAAATCCAGCGGCCCCTGACAAGTCAAAATATTCAGGACACTAAATTTGGATAATGTTTTAAGAGGAACAGTAACTTCCACTATATTTGGAAGTCTTTAAATAATCTGACTTAATACAACATTGATACTGAACATGAATATATTAAACTTAAATCTCCTTTAAGAACTATTTTTATTGAGTCCTTTTGTGTAATTTCATTATAAGGAGAGTGCAAACTATGTATTATCAAAGCTCCCAAATCAAATTTTTGATGGCTATCTGTAATGCCTAATGGTAGTTGCAAATCTGAGTATTATACACGTAGATATGGCCTTAATTGTACCATAGATCCATCCAGTGTTTATCTTTGTATTTAAACTACAATGTCAATAGCTTTTAAAAATGAACATCTCAATAGATTTTATAATTGGTATCCAATGATTCCCAAAAATGTTTGCAGAAGTAAAACTTGATGATTGGGGCAAAACCATTCCAACATTTGTGTTTCAGATGTTGGCTAATATTTTCTATAGTCTTATGTGTTTTTACTGTGTCAAAGACAAACCATGATTGCCCTCATTTTTATCAGGTTAAAATAAATGAAAATCGGTGCCTTGCTCCAAGCTGAAGCAAGAAAACCCCACTCCACACAATAAGAAAGGAGATGGGAGACATGCATATATACAGAAAGACACAGGCAATAATCATCCAAATCTTACCACTTTCACTCATTCCCACTTACCGGAGCTCAGAAACTGGAAGGTGGATTAGCAAACAGTACATTTACATTAGATCAACTTGTGTTAAAACTATGCATTTTTTAAAAAGCGGAGCGTATTCATTTATGTTATGCTGCTGTATTCCTTTAGGAACGAGAAATGGAAGCCAAAAAAAAGGCACTAGAAGAAGAAAAGCATCGCAGAGAACAGTTAGAAAAAAGGTTACAAGAAGAAACTAGTCAGCGACAAAAACTAATTGAAAAAGAAGTTAAGATACGTGAAAAACAGAGAAGCCAGGTATGTAATATCTTGGAATAGAGAAAATACAGCTGTTTGAAGGAAGAGAAGTAGTTCATGTACATTAATAGATCATTTTGTTGGACCAACGTTAGAAAGACCTAATTAGAAAGACCAAGTCTACACTGGAAAACATGCTAAACTTATCAAAGACCAGCATACCTATTTTTATTTAAAAAAAAACTAGAGTTAACAATGAAGGTTCTATACAACTGATGAAAATTTAGAGCAAATAGATGAATTCTACCCTGAAAAGATGGGAAAATGGATTTTTTAAGAAAAATGTGCAAATGTAGATAATAAATTAGCGAATAGTGTGCTGTCTGTTGTGAGGATTGTACATTTGTTAAATATAAGCTAAAATGGCTCTGTATATAGACCATACTTCTCATTTTTTTTCTAGATGAAATAGGAAGGGGAGATGTCGGGAGAAACCTAAGCTAAATGCAGTTGAAATGGGGTCTTTAAGAACACCCATCTTTTTTTCTCCACTTTGCATAATTTTTCTTATCCTAAAAGGGAAGAATTTATTGCCATGCATTTATGAGATGTATGAAAAAAGTGGACTAATTATAACAATGAAAACAGAAAATGTTAATAACATTTTTAATATTAATTGTACCTTTATTTTAGTCTCGTCCCCTGACCCGTTATTTGCCAGTCAGAAAGGAAGATTTTGATCTGCGTGGCCACATAGAGACAGCTGGCCACAATGTAGAGACTTGTTACCATGTCTCACTCACTGAGAAGACTTGCCGAGGCTTTCTTGTTAAGATGGGAGGGAAGATTAAAACATGGAAAAAACGATGGTTTGTGTTTGATAGAAACAAGAGAACATTTTCTTATTATGCAGGTGAGTTACGGCCTCAGTTTTGACATGGCATTTTTCCTGTTGCTGTATTAGGTTTATTAAATGCATAAATTCTATTATTTTTGTAGCTTAAAAATGTTCGTTTTATTGCTTGCCAGTGTTGTATGCTTACATCTTGGAATTACATTAAAGATTAGAATTAGCATATTTTCCTCATATGCTGGATCTCTAGAAGCAAAGAAATGCCCAGTATAACTGTGTGCATAGATGGAATCAAAACTGATGAACTTATATGCATAAGCTATGAATCGGTATTCTTCAAATTAAGGACCTGGTCACTTCTTGTTTTCTAAGATTTTTTGTTACAAGTTATCAGTATTTGGAATCATATGCAGGTTTTTGGCTAGAAAATTAGGACTATTTCAAGTTCAACTTGAAATATGAGAGGACCTTTTTTCTGCTTGCTTTCTGTAATTGACTATCCTGCATTGTGCAGTTTACATTAGTTGATATCATAACAAACCAATAACATTGGCAAGGAGGATACAGGAGGCTTAACAGCAAGGAATGCCAAAGCAGGTGTAGCCTAAGAAAAATACAATTTGTGTGACTGACTTTTGTTCCTATGCTATCTCTCTTAGAGATTAATAATGGCTTTTTCCACCTTTCAGTCACTCTAACTAATATTTCAACTATATTTGAGATAGAGAAATTAAAAAATGCAGCTTTGTACCAAATGGTCAATAATTTTTGGAACCAAGTACAGGCAGATAGACTGACTGATACATTGATTGGTTGACTGAATGATAGATCAATCTTAGGACACAGTAAATACGTGTTCCAGATAAGAAATACTATAACTTACTAGGAATATGCCTCACTGATGTTCCGATGTGATAATGTATTGTCAAATCAAATTGATAACCAAATAAAACAGCAGTTTATTTTAAATTAAATAGAGGTCTTAATGTTAAACTGCAATCTCTATGATGTCTCAACCCATTTTTTTTTATTTTACTCTAGACAAACATGAAACTAAATTAAAAGGAGTAATTTATTTCCAAGCCATTGAAGAAGTATATTACGATCATTTAAAGAATGCTTGCAAGGTAAGAAAAGATGTTTATCTTGCTTTTCTTGAAACATATTTTAATGTTTACATGAAATACACACTAATTATTGTATACAACTTACAATAGAAAAGGCCACTTAATATAAAAAGCTGATGGTTTGAAGAACAGTGTAGGAAAATATAAGGGAGAATAGAGGGACACTAATAAGTCCTTTAAAGTGTACTATCCAGATGCTAAGAAACTCCTAAATTTTAAATGTCATTAATTTCTTGCCATTAATTTCAGACATCTTTCCTTTGAAAATAAAATTATTTTACAAATAAATATTATATTTGGATCAAGTTCACATGATTATGCTTACATTGTATAAGTCTTTTTACTGTAATGAAACAGGCAATATTCTGTTCAAAAAAGAGACTATAGATCTTATGCACATTCTGATTTGACAGTTTATAGAGATCATGGTTTTGTGCTAGTTTTTTTGCTTCCCTACCTACATGTAGAGTTTTTCAGCTACTACAATAAATGCAGTACAATAGAGAACTAGTATTCCACTACACAAATGTGCAGTGATGTTTGAGCTCAGTGTATCAAAAATTGAGAAAATGCACAATTTGACTCTATTGGTATATCACACACACCCCACCCCCACCCTGGACAAAAGAGGCATCTCCCCTTTCCAGACTCTTCTCTCCTCCAGATTCTCTTCTCTGGACCTTCTGAAAGTCATGCGAGAAGGCCCTATTCTCATGGGACCCCTGGAGCATCAGAAAATTGTGCAAGAATGTTTGCATAATTTTCAGACGCTTTAGACATTGTGTGAGAGCAAGGCCCTCTCAGAGGGTTTGGAGGCCTTGCGTGTCATCATAAAATGGCATGGCGTGTCATCTGACACATATATCATAGGTTCACCATCACTGGAAAAGTATTATGTTTTCATCTGAAATCTGTTCAAAATCCTAGTTTGGAATCTAAAATGTATAAAATCTGTGCAGCCTCTAGGTGTTGCAGAAATACAACTCACAGCCTACATAACCAATAATGTTGAGACATCTTCTCTTTTCACCCAAAATAAGAGAGTTTTGATTTTAAATCAATCCCTCACCACAAAATAACCAACAGTATATAGAAAGAAAAGCTAAACAGATAAACAATACAAATAGTGTAGGGTATGTTTATATGACACATTATATGTCACATGTATTTGTATTTGTGTGTGTCTCTGTATGTGAGACAAGAGTGTGTTTGTTGACTGCCAGTAGCCACATTCCTAAGAGAACAGTCAGGATTAAAATAATTTTTAATTTAATAAAATAAATTTTAATTCTGTTATAATTAAATAAATAATTAGTAATGAAAATGGCATATAAAATTAACCCTTCAATTTATATTTCAATCCAGCTACATTGTTTATTTCACAGCTATGCAAGAAAAAGAATAAAATATGTAATATTCACGTATTAGATTTTCATCTGTTTCAGAATGTATAATATTAATAATTATATAAACTTCTACTTTCTTTCCAGAGTCCTAATCCATTGCTTACCTTCAGCGTTAAAACTCATGACAGAATATATTACATGGTGGCCCCATCACCAGAAGCTATGCGAATATGGATGGATGTAATAGTTACAGGAGCAGAAGGTTACACACACTTCATGTTGTAGTTAAATGTAGTGCAAAGTTTCAACAATAGGGCATAATGCAATAATAGCTGTGTTTGTGAGGGTGCAAAGCCATATATGGTCATATTTGACAAGTCACATGTATAAAATTCTATCAGTAGACCTAATCTTATATTTCAAAAGGAAATACATCATATGTAAGGGAGAATGAAATTCTGGTGGACTGACTTTATTTTTTAGATTCATTTGTTTTTGATATAATAGACAAAAAAAACCCTCTACTTAAAAGATAAATAACCCTCCAAAAATGAATAACTGGATAGCCATAAGCCAATTTCTGTGGCATTTTCTTACAAATTCTACCATGCAGAACTTTCCTTATGGAATAAATGTCATTAGGTTAACAGTGTTGCTATAGTATTTTGTATTAAGAAGTGAAAGCAAAAGATATGATGCTTCTATATTTAATGTACAGGGTATATGAACAATTTTATGTTCTTTTCCTTACAAGTATTTTATAGCAAATTTAAACTACTGTTTGCAGTGTTTTTATCTTAAAACACAACCAAAGATTTATACAGTGTGTTGAGATTTAATTTTATGTAATAGAACAGTTTTAAAATTCTTTTTTATATGCTAGTGTTTTAAAATCTTTCTATCTGTATCTTCGAAATGCTCGTTGTTAGCTTGAATGTTAACAAAAATGATATCTTTAGATATTTTAGCTTTCTTTTTAGAAGATAGAATCAGATAAAAAACTATAGTGAGCAATCATGTCTGCGTTTCTACTGAGGCTGTTGGCTTATTTTCTTAGCAAATTACAACCTCTTCACAAGAGTTCACCAGTTACAGCTTAGTAGAATTAAGAACCATAATTAAAAAAATCATAACCTTGTAAGGACTTCCCCAAATAACATGATTTTTGTGCATAAAATTACAAGTCTTTGGAAATTATATTCACAACTTTTCCATATAAAATAAATATTTTAATGTAGTTGAATATTTTCTCAGTCTAAGTTGGCTTATAAATTATAATGTGAAGAATTTCTTAGGATATAGTGTACTTAAGATCAGTCATGAAGAAAAGTCTTCAATTTTTTTCTGAATTAAATTTCCATTGATGATGAAGCATTTCTTTTTGGCACAGAGTCATATTTTGCAGCTAGTTTGATAGGTGTCTGAATAGAAGCCATGAAAACTTATTTTACATCATAAACAAAATAGCAACAATTCCATTACACATTCATTTTAATGCTATGCTTCAGATTTCATATTCTAGATCACTCTTTATGGTGTTCACATAGAAAAATTGTTTCACAAACGTACTGAGGAAACTATCACAGCATTTCACTTACAGTGAATCCTTCTTTCTGTTCCTTACGGGTCTGAAGAAATGATATGGGGACCATAATTCAATAACAGAGTAAATGCATTATGCAGATACTTCCAGGATCAGGATCAGGTACCTCTGATCAAAAAATTATTTAGTACTGATTATAAGAAAGATAATCGATAAGATCTCTTTGAAATCTTACCAAACTGCTGTCAGAGGGGATAATACTGGGCTAAATCACTAAGACTTGTGATTTCAGACTCAATGGGTCAACTAATTGATGGTCTGGAGCATATATCTACCAAGTTTAAAAACTTTTATGCATTCAAGGGATCACCATGTTATGTTCTTAAGATTATATATTCCTTAAAGATCATTTTCATTTAAAATAATTTTATGTTCTTTAAATACTGTATTCAGATGAAGTTTGGATTTTGAATCATGTTTGTATTTGATGTTGCCTTTTAATATTTTGATCGTATACATGCCATATTTTCAGTGCACTAAACTAAAAATCTTAAACCTCCTTAAGGAAATTATAAATAAGCCACTTTCAGAAATAGTTATTGAAATATACTGAATTTATTATAGTGTGTGATGCCAAGTAGCATGATTACAGTAGTTCAGAGATGCCACATTTTTTCAGATGCATTTACATGAAAAATCACATAGAAATGAGCATTTAAATTGTTGAATCAGGGTTTAATGTTGTTTTTCTTTTAATTCAATGCAAATAAATAAAGAAGTATTAAACCTTAATTGTATATACACTGTGTAAAAATATGTTATTTAACTTACTGGTATTTACTTGTGTTTTTGTTCTCCAGAGAAAAAGGCATTAAGTTTAATTCAAATTTAGTTCTTATTAAAGGAAGCCAATTGAAATCCATCAAAATTAAGTTTGTATCAATAGCAAGGTGAATTGCTTCCAGAATTTTATTCTACTCACAATTCATCTAGATCTATTAAAAAAACCAAAAAGAAAAACAACTTATTTTATGTCTTCTGAAGGAAAAGGAGCTTGAAAATTTTGTTTCACCAATGTTAAAAGATAAATTCCAGAAATTAATGCCACTGTTTCTACTGAATATTTTAATTTTACTTCTATATAAATTTTACAGGTTTTCTATTTTTTTTGTATCTTGCATGTTGTAATGGCAACATTTAAATAAATGTTAAAAACATTTTCATATTCTGTGTCTGATTTCTCAAATTTTTCTGGAAACCTAATTGGTATAAAATGCTAGAGCTCTGAGATTTCACTGTAGCTGTTAATGCAGTTACATAATGAGCAGCTCGGTCCTAAATATCTATGATAATAGAAGCAGTTGAACCACTTTAGGTTAGTTGAAGGTGCACTGCCATCTGATCTCATTTCAAGGTTGGCTTTTATTAAATAATTATTGTACATAGTAATAACTTATTAAATTTATATGCAGCCCAACTCTCAGTGTTTCACATTTCTTTAAAAACAACAGAAAAAGGACAAAACCAATACAAAAACGATAGCGGAACAATTCATAATGGGGGCAATGGGGTGGGAAAAGAGCCTCCAAGTACCAGCAACGAGGGGGTTGTTTGTATCTTGGAGGAAGCTCATTCCAGATGGCAGGTATGGTTACAGAGAAAATCCACATAGTAAATTTAAAAAATGTGTACAAAATTAATTCAGTTATTAAATTTATTATTAAATCTGAACTATTTAGCAATAGAACATGTCATCTAATTTTTACAGAATAGAGACTTTTTAGATATAGATACAAACTGGTATTTTGAATACATTCCTTAATTTCAATTTAATTTTTTTTCCAATTACAAAAAAAAATATCCTTTTGGAGTACCAAAACCTGGAGATCTCTGAAAACTAATGGGCTGTATATCTAAATTGTAGAGGTCTGGGAGTTTAATTCATGCTAGGATTGAGCCCCATAGAATAACATCTGGCTGCCTGCGACTGGAAAGTCTCAGTAAAGGATGAAATGACTTGTGTGTTGCCTCCTAGTGGTGAACATCACATTGGATTTTTTTTTCTTCCTTCAGTCAAGTTAGATAGCACTTTTTCCAACTAACAAATTTTATTAAATGTGAAATTGCAGTTCATTAAATGCATTGAGTGCATTTGATATAAATAGTGAGATGAGGGAAAAAAGAGGAAGATAGGGTAGTTATGCAGATTTACAAGTGAGATACAATACAACTACCTTATCAATAATTACAGTGTTTTTATAATCTACTGTGTTTAGTGAAACTTTCTGAACTTGCGTGAATCAATTGATGCATATGAATTCAACATCTCATTCAAGGAAAGGTTTAAGTCACTTTTGACTCTTCAGAAACAAGTCTCTAATCGGAATGTCCTGGACCAGGGCTTTTCAACCTTTTCACCCATTGTACCATTTTTAGGATATGGCAATATCCAAGTACCACCAGTCGCCTACAAGGCGTCAAAAATTTGATGACCCAAAAAGAAGGAAAGAAGTGATAAAGTACAGATAGTCCTCGACTTACAACAGTTTGCTTAGTGACTGTTTGAAGTTACAATGGCACTGAAAAAGTGCCCCACAAGGCACAGCCGAGTAAGACACCTGCCTGCCCACCCGGCGGCACTCTTCCTCCTGTTGGAGGTTTTCATTGTTGTGAGCATTTCTGTTGAGGATTGGCAGCTGGGGTGGGGTGGGGTGGGGGGGTGTTTGGTTTTTATTCCCCCCGTCTGCTGGTTGGTTGCAGCAGGTTTTGGTCACTTCACATGACCCTGGGACACTGTGACCGTCATAAATATGAATCAGTTGCCAAGCATCTGAACGTAAATCACAAGACCCTGGAGATGCTGCAACATTCCAGCTGATCAGCGCTTCTTCTGGGCTCAGCAGAAGCACCAGGATCAGCGCCGAGCTCCAGCTGGAGCCTGGCGCTGATCCTGGCGCTTCCACTGAGCCCTGACAGCCCTGCAGCTCCAGCCATCTCTCACTCAGGCTTGTGCGGTGCTGCCACCGTTCAGCTCATTCCCCTCCCCCGCTACTTTTCTAGGATGGTTGCGTACCACCTGCCAGGTGCCAATGTACCACAGATGGTACCCGTACCACTGGTTGAAAAGCCCTGTCCTGGACTACTGAAATGCTCTAACAATTTGCTAGTTGAAAAAGGTGCTATCAGACTTCTTTTGATTTCCCCCCCTCTATACACTAACACAGCAAAATAATAATGTATGTATTAGTAATACATTTCACATCATGTTGTTTTACTTAACGTTTTCAAAGCATTAGTCTATCGAAGCAACATAGATCACTGTCTTCAGACTAATTTTTAAATCCAGTTCTCAAAGCACGCTTCATCGGATGAATGTATAAATGAGGGGTCCTTAGTGTTCAGCTGTTAGTTTTACTAAAAAAACAAGAAGGAAAGAAAAATCGAAAGTAAACAACCAATCCACCAGTAAACTTTGCAAAGAACAGACTCGTCAGCCTAAATGTATAAATCTTTCACTTGGAAGATCTATCATAGAGAAACCGGGCTTGAGGCTCATAGAGATACGCACCATAGAGACAAAAGCGGTTTTCGCTGTTCTATAGCAAGAGCGGTATCCAGTTGGCGCATGCGCATACCTAATTGACGCTGCCTCGCCTTCCTTCTGGGCATGCTCTCTCCCTGGCAAAGCAGCCGAAGGAAAAGGCGTGTGCCAGTTCCGCCGTCGGGCAGGAGGGACATGGCAGTAGTGGGCGTTACGAGAGTATTTTCGCGGGGCAAGCAGAAATGGGGTGCATCTCTCGCCCATAAGACAGGCTTAGGCTTCCCTCATTTGCTGGGTAAGTGCGGAGTGGCCTGTCCTTGAGATCCTGCTTCGTCCCGCCGGCCGAATAGAGTAAAGGGCAGCCATCTACTTAACGCCAAGTTGTAATTAAGATCAGGATACGATTGATGCCTGATTAGCACCTAAACGAAAATGCACGTGTCTTTTACACATCAGTGGCAAAGAATATATGCTATTTTCCTTCTGTCGCAGTGGCTTCCCCCCAAAAAATCACAAACAGCCTTTTTCCCAAGCTTGGTTTAGTAACTTTGTTTAATCGAATCTACATATCCTTTTAATCTCCTTTAATCGCGCGGAATCTCCAATATTGAAAACGTTAAAAGAGTGCTGTTTTTGTGTGTGCATAAAGTAATTATATAGACGTGCAATATATTATTCTAGTTCCATTTTAAACTGTATTTTATCAAATTTTATTTTAAATTGCTTTTATTAGACTTTGGTAATGATTTGTTATTGGAACTTTGCACTTTGATATGGCCCAAGGGCTAATCAATAAATATTATATATAGACATGCTGCCCAGATACGTGAATAATGTTGAATTACGTTGTGCAGTTACTGTAAGTCTGAGTCTACCCGCGCTATCTAGGCTATTTTATTGTTAACAATAAAAATCAGTAATACATATACTTTGAGTGCTGTAAGCCTGTTTATTGAATGAAGGGCTTTCGGATGTATTTGACTGCAATATTTAGAATAGCCAGTTATTGTGGTCACATTTGCTGAAGGTGATCAGATAATTATATTTCCAGAAGGGAAGATAAAAGGTTGAAGTTGGAAGGAGCTATCTATCATAAGTCACCACCATATCCCTTCCCTTGTAAAACCCTGCAACCTTGGAAAATAGTTTACAAATACATTGTAAAACTATTACAAATCACTGTTTTTATTTTCTCATCTGAAATTATAGTTCCATCCTTTGCATGTTAAGTGTTAAAAATTTAAATCATGGTTTCATAAAAAATAGATTTTTTATTCCTGTTTTTGCCTCAACCATTGAAATAAATAAACTTTTAAGTATGTGAATTGTGTTTTTATGTAGACTCGTAAATCAGTAACTCAGGTTCACTTACTAAGATATACCTCATTATTGTGAATTGGTTAGCTTTTAGTTTGTGGCAAAAGATTATTGGACATTCACAGATCTTCTATTACATAGTGTTATTTGGTAGATTCCACATTTGATTAATTTTGTGACTTGTTAGGATTTGTACCAAAGCAGTTCTGACCTTTTTCTTTCTGTGATGAGCGAGAGGGTGCTGGTTAAGTAGTTTTTAACTCCCTCCAAACATTTTAAAGATTTTTTAAAAATATATATTTATAAACACATATACATAGTTTCAAGCCAGACATTAGCCCATGAATTTCCTCCCATAAATGCACTATGTGGAGATTTGTGAAAGAGCGAAATAGGTGGAAATTGTAAAACTTGGAGTTGGACATCATATAAAATTGATAAATTGTTATGAACCAGAATCGTTTTCTCAAAATTTCCTAGATTCAACCATGTCATTTCAAAGTGTTTGGGATCCCAAAATAGGTCCCAAACTTTGTGTAGTGACTCCATATCTAAAGGTTGTGAATCTCACCTTAATATGTGAATTTAATCAGTGTCAGTTTCTTTTTTACTTGCATAAAAATTATTTTAGTACTGTCACTAAAATATGAATAAAATATGCAAAAAAATTTCTTTAGGTTGTAAACAGAAATCATCACACGTTTTGCTTAACCGGTCTGATCAACCCAAACTAGCTTATAATAAGCTGAAAGGCAAGAATCCAGGGGTTGTCTTCTTGCCAGGTATTTTTTCAAATATGAATGGTGTAAAGGCACTTGCATTAGAAGATTTCTGCAAATCTGTTGGTCATGCTTTTGTAAGGTATGTAACTAATTAATTTATATATGATTTTCTAAATTGTTGCCTTGTTAAATTTATAAATCTTATTTGCTACTTGTCGGGTAACTTTTATGTTATATATAAATTAGCAATAATTATAAGAAACACAAGCATGAAAATCCACTCATTAAATTGGCAAGAAACTAGTGTAATATGACCCCTCTAAAGTGGAACTGGTAACTTATTTTCTGCTATCCAAACCTATCATCAATGGAAAGTGTGGCATATAATAGGTCTCTAGCAATGATAACAGTGAAGTATAAAAGTAGGATCAACAAGGGCCTGGATGTCCAAAGGACTATCTCTCTTCCATTGTTTCTGCTCACTTGATACATTCAGACAGAGCGAGCAAATTCTGAGCAAAGTCCTTTGTTGCCATTTTGTGGAACCTAGAAAGCTTGCCCTCTTTGTTATTGGCCCTCCCTTTGGAGTAGTAGTCCCCCAGATGTACAGATAGCATCCACTCTTCTGAGGTTCTGAAAAGAGCTTAAAACTTGGCTGTGGGGTCAGTGTTTTTGGTAGCAAGGAAGGCTGTCACACTGTATTTTAATGGCTATTTTTAATCTAAGCTATTTTGTTTTGCCTGCTTTCATTTTTT